TCTCATTTTGTTTTGTTTGGTGGCCATGTTTGATGGTCCATATCGCTGTCTGTTCTAGACGGTAAGCTTAAAATATTAAATCACTTATTTATTAGTTGTGTTATGTTCGTTTATAATATAATAATGCAATCGTATTCTAAAACTTTTTACGATTACCAAATGATTTACATGAAATAATAAAAAAAATTAAAAAGCGCAGAAAAATACCAGAAAATATTGACTTTGAATACAGAGATTTTAACTTTTAATCACTTTATATGAAAATGTTAACTAAGTACACTTTTCAATTTTGAACCTTTTTGGAATTGCGTATGCATTATACATATCAAACAATATAATTTTTTTTTCTTTTAAAATATTGGACTGCATTAAATTTTTATTTTATATATAAGATTGCATTAATATTTAATACTATACATAATGATATTAATACCGCTTCGTCACGACGTTGGCCTTGTCGAGTCATACGTATTTGCAAAAAATAATGTTCAGTGGTCGTGTCATGTTCAGTTTATATAGTTATTACAGTCGACTCTCTATAGCACTGTAGATAATTCTGTTTTATATGAATTCCATGTTGTACGAGTCACTTAGATTTTACAAATACGTGAGCCGTTCACAGCTCGGCACACGTATTTGTAAAATCTAAGTGACTCGTACAACATGAAATTCATATAAAACGGAATTATCAACAGTGTTATAGGGGGGTTGACTTGTAATTGAATAAGTTTTATTCCCTTTATATCAAAAATACATCGTTTCAGTTTACACGTAAGGCCAAATTTTTTAACCAGTTTCTTTTGGACTTTTCTTAATCATAGATTTGAATGCAAAATAATGAAATTACCACGGTTGTCAGATGCATAAGATTGTGTCTTGTGAAGAGAAAAATTGTTGTAATAATTTATTAAATTTTGATTGAATGCGGTGAATATAATATAACAGGAAAGAAATGTTTTGAAATAAGTAATATTCAGAAGCTCCATTTATCCCTGTTCATCTATATATACAATATTGAATATGCAGATAAATATGGAAATATAAAGCTTTGCAATGTCGCGTCATAATGTCGTCTTGAATGCATTTGAATATTAAAATAGAATGTAAATTAAAATATCTTATCATTGTTAACTTAATTGTAAAAACTTGAAGACAAAATTTTTTACAAATCAGCATTTTTAATTTTATGAATAATTCCCATATATTACTGTATTTTTATGTAAGCATGAGTAATAACAGAGTGCTACGAAAGCATCAAATATAACTCGAAACCATCTATTTTTTATTCTACTATAAAATAAATAAGAGTAAGTAATCAGAATTCAATTTATAAATTATAATGTTAGAATATTTCATTAATTCATATAAATTTATGGACCAAAACAGAAGTAACATAGCCCACTTTTAACGGAGTGTCGTTGTATATGAAGAAACTTGTTTACGTCTACATTTAATGTTAATGTTATTTAATATTAATATTAATGTTATTTAATTTTATTGTTATTTAATATTAATCTTAATGTTATTTAATTTTATTGTATACTAAAAGCTATACTGTTGAAAAATTTGTATTTTTTTGAAGTTAAATTAAGTTATTTCTATATACTACATTTAAATTTCACCGCTTTTCCAAGAACTCTAAGAAACAATAGTAATTTCATTAAATTTACTAGATTCATAGCTTGTATTAGTTTTACTCGTACCTTCCGTGTCACTGTCACCTTCATATTCTCTTTCCGAATCCTCCACAAAGTCTAGCATTTCTAGTACACACCCCTGAAGTTTAAAATGCAAAAGGTGTTTGACGTAGGCACGATCCGTTTTGCTCAAATGACAACCTCATAACCTATGCTTCTTCATCAGGGGCGTCCGGGCAAAAACGGGAAGCATAAACTATATAAAAAAATGGCATCGTAGATTATACAAGAAGCTTCAGTCTATAATTCAAAGTCGGATTAGCGCTCCCACAAAGTAGTGTTGGTTGCACTCGTGACTAACTTGACTTCGTTAACAAAGAATGTAGTTTTGGTCAACATATAACGAAGTTGCGTGGGATAATGAAGAAATATCGTTCATTAGTTTCTTCTATATATGCAGAATAGGCTAACTAGAAGACATGAATTTTCTGTTCTTGTTGATAACGAAATTTGGGGTCTCCTTAGAGATTAGGAAAAGAAAAACCCAGGCAAAAAAAGGGATACTTGCCCTAAGGGCACCAATGTACGGGCGTCCCTGTTGTCCGTGCATCGCAAATCCATTTTACGACTTCCTCATAAGAAGCAGACTTTCTGTTTCCGAAACTTGTAAATTCTTTATTCCCATTAGCAATTCAGTCTTTTTATTTTTTCTCACCTGATTTTTAGGAAGTTTATTCATATGAGTATCGAGGGGTTGTATTAAAGGGTTACACCATCTAGAGTGTAGTAAACATCAATATTTTTTGTTTTATTTTGGCCTGTTTGTCTTCTCACAAATGTGAATGATCCGAGTCCAAAACGAATAAACAATTCGGCTTAAATAAGGAATTGGGTCGGGTATTCCAAGATTTTAGGGGAATATACTCTTCTATAAACGTACTTGCTGTCATTACGCTTACCTTTTCAAGAAATCAAAGACATCTTTTCAAGAAATTTTATGTACTAGCATAAAACGGATCAACAACCCATGTGACGCCTTAAATGTTGATGAATCAACATTTGGGTAAATTTGGAGAAAGAGATGCTTTGTCATTTCACGGGTTATTACAAGTATTACCAATAACAGTTCTACCTTTTGACCGTACCACTGTAATCCACTTGGCCAATGCAGATTCCTTTTTTGGATAATTAGCAGAAATTTTATAGGGAAGACGACGCAATTTTACTGTTTAATATTCTGTCACTGAATGCAGTCAGAATGTCATCTCTTTTCGTAAACCATCATTGAAGCATTGATCTTCAGTTTTCGAGAAATTTTTGACAAGTTTTTCGAGTTTTTATATGCTAAAATAACTTCTTTTTTTTAAATGACAAGCTACTGTATATGATTTTCATTTATCCGTTTTTCGCATACAGGATTTTATAATAAAGCAGCGCGATTTATAATAAAATCCTTGACAAACATCTATGTTGATTGCGCTCGAAATACAATCAACAAATTCCAGCACTCATTTTTCCAAGGTAAAATATAGCGGCATGACGTAATATACGAGATAAAAGTAAGTTTTGTTTTCAATCAAAAACATGCAATTTTCTCATATTAATTAATTCATACCGTTAAAGGCATAATACGTTAAGATGAATATGAAATATGCAAAAAAGGGAAAAAATACTTCCTTCTTTTTTTCCAAATGGGAAGTATTAAATATACAAAAAAGGTGCTCGTTTGCATGCTCTTGGGAAACAAAAGCATGAAAACGAGCCATCTCATTGTTTGTCGCAATTTTATTAAAATGATGTTCTTAACTATATCGATATAAAATATTTGATGATGTCATCGACTACGAATGTACTTCGTGTTTCGTATATTTTTATGACAGACTTGAAAATAGAAAGTATTAAGAGATCTCTCCTTATCCATTTTAAGTTTAAATCATAAAAAAAAGTAAGTAAGTATCAATTAAGTTTTTTCACTTGTAAATTGCAAATTATTAGAATATTATTTCTATAAATAATAGATTATTACTATAATTTTTAAAAATAAAATACTGTAATCACCTTGAGATTTTTATAGCCTATATTTATCTTAAAAGTGCAAAGGAAGGAAAAATAATTATTTTCAATAAAATATAATTGGAACTTAGCAGAGATATGTAACAATTCAAACAAAAACATATAAGATGAAAAAATTACTCCAAGTAAAAACATTATGACAATTTAGACTATAATCAAAGTTTATTTTTAGGAGTTTTTCTTTGGTAAAGATTAGTTTGGAGTGAAAAAGTCACTGACTGACTTTTTCACTCCGAAAATCGGCCACTATGATTCTTGTATGTACAGTCAGTCAGTGACTTTTTCACTTAAAAGTAACAATTTTGCATCCCTGGTGTACAGCAATGGTCTTTACTTTTGCTTTTGTATGTTTCTGTTTTCTTCCACTTCACATTCATAGCATTATATTCAGCCTGGAAATAAATCATTGAAAAGAAATTAGGACATAAAAATCCCTGATTTATATATGCTCCAGTGGCTTGCCATCCATGGAAGCTGTGGACAATTTTTCAAGTTACAGCCCAACCAGATTGAATGTATGAGGAAGAAAACCTGTTATACTGGTGAGCGTGATACATCTACTCAGGATAATGATTTTGATAATAAGCAATATTATGTATGCATTCACGGCTTGTTTCATTGATAAAAATAAACATTATATAAGAAATAAAGTATACGAATATAATTATAGAATTTAATCCGCTCCTATAGCTATAATACATCGTTATCAGCTGGTAAAGAAAATTTTTATATAGAATTTAGTAATATAAACAATATAAACTTGCATGTATCCATTTGCTATAAAAATCCAGTAAGAAGTTGCGTAACTTTCCCGGCAAGTTAAAATTATGTGGCGCCATCTGTTATGAGATTTTATTTTTAAAATTTATATTATTAATTATTTATAAAATGGCAAAAATCTTAATTTTGAGGGTAGAGAAAATATTGCTAATGGTAATAAAGAGTAAAATCTTTATTAATCCACTGTTCAGGAAACAGAACCATTTGGCCACTGGTGGGCTGACGTAATTTTCTTGTGAAGATCAATATTTTTATTTATTGGCATTTCACAAAGAAATTAAGGAATTTTACAAATAAAAATTACGAAGTATATCAAAATTAATTAGTTCAGTGTATTTATAAATCTTAAATTTATATTCTGTATAGAGTTATAGAGAAAAAAAAATACAAAGTTTAAATCTTTCCATTCTTAATTAACATACATTAAATTAAATTATCTACTAATTTGAAAATTTTCTTTTCAGAAATAACGAAAATTTAACATTTACTATTGATAAATAAATTAAAATTAATAAAAATGAGAATAAAAAAAAAGTAACAAGAAGAAAAGTAATTGTGGCAAATATGACAAACACGACCGCAGATTTGTTGGAGAATATTTCTTCATTTAATAATACAAACAATGTTAATATTTCTTCTTATATCGCTGAGAACAATTCTTCATCGAATTGTACAACTTGTATTGATTTCAACGATAATGTTTCCGAAGCTCTAAAGTCCGCTACAGATAACTTGATGATTATTATGGTACTAATAGTAATGATGGCAATGGGTACAGATATATCTTGGAATCAGGTAATCAAGCTTATTTGTGAATAATTTTTATTTAATTTATGCAAAATTAATTAATTTTTAATAAGCATTTAACTTATGTTCATAGATTTGGAAACATTTACGAAGACCGTGGGGAGTCATCATTGGAGTATTTTGCCATTACGTTGTTATGCCATTATTAGCTTTCATGTATAAACATATTTTTCAATTGGATTCAGAAATATCCACGGGATTAATTATTGTATCTTGTTCTCCTGGTGGTATATTATCGAATATTTTCAATTATTATTTAGATGGAGAGGTATCTTTAAGGTGTGACCTTCATTGATCATTCCCTTTACGTATTGCTTAATATCGAATTTAAAAAACATTAATTATATTTTAGTGTCACCATAACTGCGATATCCACTACTTTAGGATTAGGACTGATGCCACTTAACGTTTGGATATATTCGAGAGAAATAACTGCAGGTCAAATAATTATATCTTTTGTCAATATGATAATATCATTAGTAACAATAACTTCTCCCATATTCGTTGGTATGCTCATAAGATGGAAATTTCCAAATATATCAGCTCATATCACTAAAGTAAATTGAATTATTAATTATAATCTTACATAGTAGTTATTAATTAATAAGATATGAATTAATATTTTATTTATCCTTTTGTAGTGGGGTAGTGCGCTAGGATTTCTTCTCTTCCTCATCGTATTCATATTAGAAATGATTCCTTTCAGAAAAGTTATTCATGAAATAACTTTAAAATTAATTTTAACTACAATTCTTATGCCCGCAACTGGCATTATCATTGGATATTTACTAGGTTTCATTTCTCGAAGATCTCGATCAGTTTGCACTACAATAGCTATTGAAACTGGAATTCAAAACGTGCCTGCTGCGATCACCGTCATTACTTTATCTTTCCCTGTTCAGGTATACATTTTTCGAATTAAATGTTGAATAATTTGCTTGTAGTCATTAATAAAACGAGGAGAAAAATTTCAGGAACAGATTAAACTTCTCCTGGCACCATGTTTTTATTTAGTATTTCAAGCCGTTATAGGCATTCTTATGTGCGTAATTTATAAAATTTCAATAAAATGTTGCAAAAAGCCAGGAATTTCGAGACAAAATATAAATAAAGATGTTAAACATGCAGGTAAATATATATTATATGCAGGTATAACTTAAGTGCATTATACGGAAATATTTTCTTGAATTTATTAACCGATTTTCTTTTTTTATAGAAAAAGAAGAAATTTGATAGCTATTTGCAATTACAAGTACTCTTTACGAATTTTGTCTTAGTATCTGGCAAACAATTTCTAATTTTTTTGTAAAAAGTTTTAAACAACCTTTTATGCACTTTATCACAAGATTGGATATTGTTGGAATATTGATTGTGACATTGTTGGCATTCTTGTTAGATACATGGAACCGTTGACACCGCATTTAGAGAGAATTAATTTTACGCTTTTCAGCCGAACCTGAGCTGTATTACCACATACTTGTGTGATGCAGCATTGAAACGAATTGTTATTAGTTTTAATGCTACGTAACGACATCATTTTGAAGTAATTTTAAACGTTAAAAATGGAGCATAATTTAAATGCTCTTTACCAGCAAAGTTAATTTGAACTGATGCGAACGATGAGCAATACTGTATATCCGAATCCGAAAATATATTTATTATTGGTCCCTAATGCAACACGTGGTCTACTCTAAAATGAATGTAAATGTAAAGGCTTACCAGTAGCAGAGTAGATAAAACGTCTGAACACTGTTAATTGGTTGTGGGTTCGCTCCTCGCCAACGAGCTGGCCATGTAAAGTTTTTCGCATTTTCTTCACGTTTGGAACACCTAAATAGGAGCCAGTTTTTCATAAAAAGGCATCACACTTGGCACTTGGGACACGTGCCAAGGGTGATGCATGCACAATGCCTACGTGTCGCGTTGCCGCAACCAAATAAATCTGTAAATGTAAAACGTACCTCTACTTCTAACAATTAAGAATTGATGAAAACAATCTTACAGTTGAAGAAATGAGATATTTCTTTTGTCCTTTAGATAACAAACATTTTCGTTAGATAAAATTAAAACTAAGTCTAAAGTCATTTGATAATATTACGTTATATATATGCATTTCCAACCAGTCTATTTTTAAAACTCTTTCCGCCCTGTGGGCACTAATAAGGCCTCTTTTAGCAAGCCCATTATGACTTTGGCCAGGCTCACAATGGGGTGGCCGGGTGGTGAGAAACGGGGCCCGACATACCTAGACGGACCACCATCTGAAAAATTCCCGATGCTTTTTTGACCCGTCCGGATTTGATTCCGGGTCCCTCAGACAGGTAAGCTACCACATATACCATATATACCACATATCGGCGATCCGGGCTGTCCCATTTCCAACCAGATAGTAACTCATGTCTTGCTCACATCCTTTATTCACTGAATCAGTTTACATGTTTCACTTTGATTACAATATGCATTTCAAAATGTTGACAAGTACTGTACATTTTATAAATTTTACACTTACGTAAAATAAAATTTCAATTGCGGTTGAATTTCCGTATTTGGGGTGATTAAAAATCGATATTTTCCAGATAAATCTATACTAGTTCTCAATTAGCCCCAAGTGTTTTTTACATATGCCTGAACGTATGTAATACTGTCGGATGGTCGAGCAGTTAAGATGGCAGACTTCCAATCTGGCGACCTGAGATTGTATCCGGACCAGTCAAAAATCACAGGAATTTTTACAGGTGATCCGTTCGGATATGTTGAGCTCTGTCCCTCACCATCCGGTCGCTCCACTATAGGCCTGTCAAACTCATAATCGGCTTGCTAAGTAGTTCTCTTTGTATGGAGTCCGAGGATAAAGCTTTTGTTAATTTTTTTTCTTTTTAACAAATGAAATACGTTCTGTAGAATATGTTCTTCTTAATAAAAAGCAGTTTTAAGTATTACTTTTGTTAGCAAAAGTAACATTAACTTATACAGACAGGAACCACTAAGGGTTCTTAAGTTTTCTCTGGATGCAGGGAAAAATCCATAGCACTCCGTCTCGACGTCCCTGAAAACAAGGTATTTACCACAGAATTTACTAGATTGCAACATACAAAGGTCACAAGCCTACGTTTGGCCAATTCGACACAAGCCATTCCACGCAAAAAAAATTTGTTGAATGGTTTTAAATATTATTATTATTTTTTTATAATCGACCTTTATAACGTTTATGGAGTATATAAAAACCCACAATTTACCACTATATAATTACAGTAAATATATCCAGTAAACATGATTGATTCTAACACAAACCAACAAAAATTATTGTAACATCTTCACAATACGGGGTTGCAATTTTTAATCATATTTTAAATTTATTTAATTTCAAATATGTCCTCTCGAACTCAAATTGGTAGTCTTCTACATTTTTTATGAATTAGTAGCAAGTGGAAGTTTATTGAAATTAAATCGAAAAGATAAAAAACATTTATATATAATAATAAAGTAGATAGTTCCGCGTCAAGCATGACAGCTCACTATGTCAGGTCTTTGGTCCCAGTCAGGTCATTCGGAGTCCGCTTGTTATTATGTTATCGTAACTGGAGGAAAAGGACAAAATGTATTTATCCCACTCCATTCCTCTAGTTCACGTTCTCATCGAACGATCTTTATTTGTCAAATTGACCCATCCAGACACCGAGACAACACCTCGGTGTTGTCTCCATCATGACGGTGTAGACGCTTCCGCCATTTTTTTTCCAGATACACAACCGTATCAAAATTCCTATAGTCTTGAAAAGGTTTCCTTACTGCTTTACCTGAGTAATAGAGACTTTACTATTTTTCGGTTATTTGAATGACATAATGCAAATTCTAAATAAAAAATGGCGATGACGAATGGTACAAAGTATCGCCATTTACTGAGCAAACCGAATTTGTATGTGTTAACAATAAAATTAATAACATTAAACAAACGAAGCCATTTTATTCTCTTCTACGTATTTTTTTTTTAAATGTGTAATATTCTCCTGCCATTTTAAAAACGAAACTATATGTATTTAATAACATTAATAAATAAAATAACAATATTACGATCTATTAATCACAACATAACAATAAAAATAATAATAAATAATACAATGCACGGTCTATAAACATAAGGTCAAGACGGGATACCTTGATGCATCGCGGCAGTCTCCATGTTGGGGCTCTTATGGTGTGTATGGTGTTTCTAGCAAAGCTGATTGTTTGTTTCTTTCGATCTCAAGTAGTTGGATTTCAGCTAAATGGCTTTAATATTGCTTGAATATATTCAATAAGAAAAATTTAACTGATGTTTTATAATTTTTATAAATTCATATTTTGATACAAATAATGCTATTTGCTGCATGTACTGTCATTCAGTGTGAACATGTTGCATTTTCTGAGGTAACAGTTTTAGTGAAATCGGAAAATACAGTATCAGGTTACTAATAGAGATTTAAATATTTTGCTGTTAGATAAAATCAAAAATCCAATATATAAACTGCTTTTATATTTTACACTTATTATAAAACGTTTGCAGTATGCATCATTAGAATGGTTACAGTTAACCCGGTTTAAATTACATTAAAACATGGTTACTCATATCATTACTATACGCTGTTTGTGCTAAAGTTTTAGTAAAGTTTTAGGATGTACTGTACAACGTTATGTAACTAATTAAATAGAATAACAGAAATGGAGATTTAGAATAAAGATTTATTAAACAGAATAAATATTGTTATATCTTGTTTGTGAACTAAAAATACTCTTTAAAATTAAAAATAAAATTTAGTAATTGAAATTAAAACTTTCAGTCATTTAAATAAATATTTCATAATAATTGAGAGTAATGTAACATAGTACTGCACAGATTGCACATTCTAATAAATGATTATGTTGCTTAATAATCATTTTATTATGAAATAAATAATAAATAAAGTTGAAGTTGACATTTCTATTTGTTGGTATTGTCTACTGTTTAATAAAATTTTACAAATATACATATTTAATCCTCTATAAAAATAAATTAATTTAATTTATATGCATAAGAAGTTTTCTAAATGAAGGAAGTTTTTATCTCTTGCAAATACTTTTGAAAGTTTACTTTATATAATATGTAAAGTTTGTGAAAATGGTTTTCTTTTCTCTTCATCTAATTTTAATTCATAAAAATGTTTAACCTGAGCTCTTGTTTGGAGATTAATTAAATTTATCCTCGTATTTTATTATACGAACCACTGGCATTTCTTTTTATTTTGTAACCTATTTAGTTAAAACATTTATATCGAATTTTTACAATTCGGTACTGAACACCAAACCATTATAAAAATTATATGTTCATTTTATATAATTAGTTGGATTTCTTGTTATATATATATAAAACAAGAAATCCAACTAATTGAGATCGAAAAAAACAAACAATCAGCTTCGCTCTAGAAACACAGTACACACCAAGAGCCCCAACATAGCGACTGCCGCGATGCATCACGGTATCGTGTCTTGACCTTATGTTTATAGACCTTGATACAATAAATTATGATGTAGCGCCATCTGTGGAAAAAGAAAGACAACAAACAAACTCACAAACAGACTTTGGTTATTATATTTTAATCAAGCTTGGAATCGATATTACGCCACGTTTAGTGAGATATTCAAATTTAGTAAGAACTGGAGTTTGAACTTGTGGGAATTGGCAGTGTCAGATTACTGAATGTTTAGAACTAGCGAACATACGTATTACCGAGATTGTACTGTACTGTATTGTGTAATTTTAATTCATATGTAATATACTAATATTGGACAACTTGTAATGGGAGTGACTTTCACGAGAACTTAGAAGCACTTTACAAAATATGCATTTCTTTGTATATACTCTATGACAATAATACAAGCATAAAAAATTCATCTTTAATTTTCAAGCATTTGTTTTATATGATAGGATTCTATAATATCAAAGACAGACGAATAAAAGACTGCTCATCAACTACAACGAACAATTATTAGGAAGCAACTACAGTCGACCCCCCTATAGCACTGTTGATTATTCCGTTTTATATGAATTCCATGTTGGTATGAGTCACTTAGATTTTACAAATACATGTGCAGGGCTGTGAACAGCTCACGTATTTGTAAAATCTAAGTGACTCGTATAACATGGAATTCATATAAAACGGAATAATCAACAGTATTATAGAGGGGTCGACTGTATTAGCGAATTATCGTTTTAAGACGGATGACTGACTGAGTTTTGAACCAGGGTTTTATTTCGATGATCTTAACAATAGGAATTTTTTATATTCCCTATTCAGTTAAAAATTTCCCTGTTTTCTTCTTGGAAACGAAAGAGGATAATAGGAAGACGGTGCGAGAGAACATCACGTTGTTTTGAGGAAATTCCTAGTTTATAGGAATTCAGTTTTAGAAACAGAAAAGGAAATTTAAGTACAATAACAAATAAAATTGCATTTATTATTATAAAATATACTGATATTAATTCTAATTCTCGTAAAATTAATAGAAAATTTTGTGACGTTACTATATCCTGTAGTGTCTACAACAATTAATTTTAACTGTTTTTGTTAAAATTAAATTTAAATTTAAGTTGGCCACGTCCTTAATGGGGCCTACTAGTGGCAAGGAACGGCCTCAGAAATGTTTTTGGTGGATTAATTCCGTTTAAATCTATCCACAAAAATTTCTGTTCTAACTTGGAATTAAATTCAATTAGCCTTTTCTATTATATAACCTTAATTTATGATATATTTAATAGAAAATTAATTGATCAAATTAAAACATAAATATTACTAAACTAAAATGTTTATAATGAATATTTATCAATATATTTAGCACAGGATACATTGCAATATGATTTGCCGGAAGGAATAATGCAATCATTATTTTTTTCTCAGACAAATTCCTCCGGATGTATAAAAATACGTTAACTATCAATTCAATTTTATTGTCTTTACAAAAGTTTATAGTTAATAAACTATATATATTTACTTTAGTGTATTGAAATTATGTATTACATGTAAAGAATATTTGGAATGAAGAATGGAATTCTTTATCAAGTAACATTTACAGGTCTATATATAGTGTTTACTTGTAATCAAATCCAGAATCATAATTCAGGTAAGTAACGAATCCAAGTACGTATACAGAACTTAGGTAATGGTGATTGTACACGATTTGATACTAAAATAACGTTTAAACGTTAAAATATTGTACATTATTATAAAAATTTACCTGTAATAAATAATATAAATAAATACACTTGAGTGCAGAATGTACAACAATTAACATTAAGAACGTTGAAGTAAACAACCATAAATATAAATGCATCAATGACAATGATTACTTGTTTGGAAATGAAGAATTAGAGTGCCAAGAAGATGGAACTTTGCAAGGAGAAATACCCTATTGTGGTGAGTTAGGTCAAGCTTCTACATTACTATTTTCGTACGATATAATTAATAATAGTGAAAAGCATTTAATTCATTAATGAATAAATGATGAATATATTTATGGATGAATCCACCTAAAATGGCTATATAAGATAACAATGGTCCACATGCATTAAACTTAACGTAACGATTAAAATCATTATCTTTTACTATATNGGTCTACACCCAGTAAAGGTTGCTCATCACTGCTCTAAACTATACTTTTAACGTTGAAACAAATAAATTTAATTTATAAAAACAAAGGAAACTTTTTAGATTTGTTCGTTCTTGTAGGAAGTTGAGGTCTGTATTTATCGTGGAAATTTAACACTTGATAATTCACTTCACAGTATTCATTTTCTGACACAGTTTCTTCCATTGATTCTTCGAATTCCTTAGCATAAGCTATGGTTTCAGTTCTTGAATCCGATAAGATCTTTTTCTTTCTAAAACAATTTTATAATTTTTATTATGAATAATTATGAAATTATTTTGATATATAGTTTCAATTTTTATTAAATATTCTATCTACAATATACATATAATAATTACAAGTATCTAAATTCAATTCCAATTAAATCATTGAATACATAATTAACTGCTATATATATATTATAGTAATTTTTTTACCTGTGTTTAAATACGGTGAATAATCCAATCAACAATGTAATTAGCCCAATTATAACAGCCATCAAAATTATAATTACTAAAAAATAAATATTATATTTAATCAAACATTTAAAATTTGATTCAATTATTATTTACTTACCTAAATACATTGGAAATTTCTTCTCTGTAAGAAATATAAATTATTTTAACTGCAATAATTTCTTTATTTTAAAATATAAAATATTTACATACCAATACAAGCTGCATGAGTATGGGACCATTCTCCATTCTTAAGACATTTAATACTTTCTGTGGCATTTAATTTATAACCAGGATTACAAATAAAACGAATTTCGTCTTCATAAAAGTAACGTTTAGTTCCATTCCAATTTTCCCACATACCATTTAATATATTCATAGGAAAACTTTTGCATTGGATTCCTTCATAAAAATTTAATTTAGGCAATTAAAAATGAAATAAAATTTTAAGCATAAAAGCTGTCCGAATGGTTTACTTACGTTGACATTGTGGTATTTGAGTGGATATATCTGTCACTCCACAGTAAAGATATCGATATCCATTCAGTTGAAAACCCTCATTGCAGTTAAATGACACGTGTTCTCCATAGCTTAACGAGTTAACATTTGAAGGAGAAATATATCCATTTGATGGATATAATGATTGAATGGGACATTTTTCTTCTGTTAACGAAATATAAATTGTCAATTTTCATTAAATATTTCGTGTAAAAAAGTGTTTTCAGCTAAATCAAATTATGTAGGTTGTTTTATATAAGGGGTAGTCTATAAATTACGTCTATTTTTCTTGAAATTTTTACTCTCCTTTCCCTTCTTGTCCCAGTTTGTCCACGTTTCTATAATCTCTTTCCCTCTTCGGACGTTCAAGAAAACATTTATCATTTTAGGAATGATAAATATCATAAATAGAAACGAAACATAGAAGAAATTCTGAAATAAATATAATAAACTGTATAAAATTTAATGAAATAAACATATGCCCATTGAAGCTCAACCCTCTCCTCCTCCTTATCTTAATATATTTCTTGTTTACTGTGGAAATAGTGTTTTACGAGTGATGAAGAAACAAGAAAATTAATTTTTATTTGATATAAACACCGAAAGAAAAAAGGTACAGTACTTGCCTGATTTTGAATAAACGGAAATTCCACATACTTCAAAGTAACGTGAAAATTTCTTCTTTAGAGTAAATTTAATATCCTCGTTCATAACGTTTTTAAATTCATATGTAAATTGCACAGTATCTGAAATAATAAAAATATCGATATAATATTTTTATATAATGGCATCAGTATAATTCTTTATAAAACAAAAATATGAATATAAAATATATCAATAGATGCACTAAAATTCGTAAAAATTTTAACTGATTTTAACTTAATAAACAAGAAAAAGTATTACTATTAATTCTTTAAGTATCCTCATATTAATGTTTCTTAAATATTAAAAATAATTAAACAAATATTAAAATAAGAGCCACAACACAAAAATGGTTATGGCTTTTCTCTTCAAGGATCCTGTTTCATTTAATGTAATACATTTAATTTTGCATCCTTATATTGCATTTGGAAGACTGCTTCTTGTGTTGCCTTATATATATTTTAGGAAATAAATAAACAAATAATTTACAGTCGACCCCCTATAACACTGTTGATTATTCCGTTTTATATGAATTCCATGTTGTACTAGTCACTTAAATTTTACAAATACATGAGCCGTTTACAGCCCGGCACACCTATTTGTAAAATCTAAGTGACTCGTACAACATGGAATTCATATAAAACGGAATTATCAACAGTGTTATAGGGGGTCGACTGTATATGCGAAAAATGATAAAAGATTTATTGACTTACTTTGTCGACAACTAGTTTTATATCGTTCTTTGTATACATATCTATTAACACTTAAATTCACGACAGGACATCCAATGTCATCTCTGTTTGCTAGAAGATTAAAATTATCAATAAATTAATTATTTATAAATAATAGACTCCGCTTATTTTAATCACATTGGAACTTAATAAAATCAGTGATTTCGATGAGCGGAGTCTACTGTAGTAATAATTTAAAAAAAAAAATTTACCTTTAAACAATATTCTAATAGCTGAGAAAGATTGATTATTTACTTTTATCTCCCAAGACGTGTTACCACCGAATTCTACACATCGACTGTAACTAAGTATTACTTTTTTGTCATTACCGTCTTTCCAAATCTCCGTAGGGATTGTCCTAGCTGAATCAAAGTAAATTATCTATTATAGGAAAAAACATAAAATATATGTATATCAAAAGTAATGCATGTTTCATTACTTTTCATTTTATTAAAATTGAATGTAAAAGTATTGTTAAATGACATTGCGCTTGTATAGTTCAGTTGTACTGTACATTTCTATGTTAGCTAAATATATATAAGTAACGCGAGGAAGATGATTATCCTTTTGTTTGCCTATGACTTCATCTCTACCCTACCCCCAACCTATAGGATAAGATGGTTTTTCACGTGATTCACAATTAACGTGGCTGCCTTATTGTTTCATCAACAGATACACTTAACAAGTGTTGTGTTATCATTATTTCCGAAGAAAATACCGAATGTTTTAGGTTTATGGAGGGGACATATGTCGAAAAACTCACGAACTTTGAGGTTCTATCTTCCCCTACTTACTCATTAATTTTGAATAGTTATCAATTTACAATCTATGAGCACCAAAAGAGCCTTTGAACACTCCCAATAAAGATTCAATTAGGATCGTAATGAGATAAGGGACTGGACCTAACATTCATAGTCAGACTAATTATGAAATATTCTCCCGAAATCGAATCCTGATACCTCAGATGTCTTACCAATTCATTTAACATTATATCTGTAATAATATATAGCGTAAAATTTTAATTATTGGTTTTATATTCGTGGTTTCATCTTGTTTTTGATCATTAGCTATTTATTTTCAATAGTAATAAAGCTCTGTTGCGCTCGTCCCTTCAATTGTCGGTTTAAATTCTCAAAAAATACACGTATTTCCATTCTCGTATATATTATTTCTGTGGCACGCATTTACTATTAAGTTTTTAAATGTTGATTAATTAGAGGAAACATTTTAATCGATCGATTTAACACATTATTTAATGTAATTTCCTTCCATCGAGAACACGATACTTGAATATATTTAATGAAAATGTTTATTGTACATAATTCTGTTTTACGCTATTAGTCCAACATATCCTATAAAAAAACATTATAATAATATTAGTTATTTACTATGGAATTAATAAAATATTAACTCACCACAATAGGGTATTTCTCCTTTCCAACTTCCATCATCTTGACATTTTAATGTTTCATTACCAAACATATAATAATAATAATCCTTGTTACATTCGTATTGGTGCATGTTATCATTAAAAAATCCATTTTTAATTGTGATCGGTGTACATTCTATAATTAAAAAAATATTAAGAGAAAATTCGTATGTCTAGCATTTTACAAACAAAATTAATACTTAATGACAATATAGAATACACTATTTTTGTTAAAAAATAACATAAATTCCTTCGCTAAAGAACTATTTTACACATATTTAGATGTAAATATATTAAAGTTTTAAATGAATTAATTACTTGAGTAATTCCGCACTTCTTTACTGACAAAAACTAAGCTTAATCCTGTAAATATCATTAATTGATTGATAATTCTTTGGCACATTCGTAAATGAATAATTGTTAAAACCAGAACGAAAATCTATAACGTTTATTCTGATATACTTATATTTTCCGACGGAAAAACCTCGACTTTTTCCTTCTTCCGTCATATCACGTGATACTATATCCTGTAATTTAAATTCTAACAAATGTTATGTATATATATATATACTTCAAGTTTAGCATATTAAATAGTAATGTTAATTTCGATTATTTTTTTTAATTTTAAGGTATATACAGTAGATAAATAAATGTTATGTAAATCATAAATTCTTTTATACATTATTACGTGTATAAACAGCGAGGTTCTAGTTTTGTTTTGGTGTTCCCCTTAATAGGATGAAGTGCCAATAATTGGACATATACCAGGAACCGATTGAGACGTAATCGGATTTATGTACGTAATTGATATACGTATATATTAGTAGTAGTTATCACTAAGGCGCTAGATAACCCAGGTATGCTCATCCGCCATGTTGGTCCTTAGAAAGCTGACGACTCTCGTAGAAGTTCAATAGAAGAGACACGAAAATAATCATAAATTCAACTGTATCTTAANTTAAGTTAAATAAATTAAAAAATATAATAAAAAATTGCAGCCCGGCATTGTGACTATGTCATAATAAATAATATATTCTTAAATTTTTATCTTTCGTTCTTTAATGGAATTCGAATGTTCTGTAAGTGAAAAAGATCAGTCAATCTGATCGAAAATGTTTTTATTACAATGCACTTCTTGCTGGAATTTCTAAAATTTTACTTGTATCAATATTAACGTTTCTTTTTTTTAACGTTTCTTTATAACTTGTTTGAATAAACAATTGAATCTTACATTCCTTACGAAATACTGGCTTGAATTTAGAACACCTAAACTTGAGGAACAATAACTTACTGTATATTTGGAATTTACAGTAGGCTGCTTAGAATGCTAATTTAAATATACATTTGAAAATCCGCATGGGGTCCGACTCAATTAGTCCGGATTTTTAATGCTTCACTATATATAATTCGTATGCTTAAAGACATTGTTATGGTTGGAAACAGTGAGTTGGCCGTCGAACTGGGAATGACTAATTCGACAAAGTCCTCTCCCGCAATCTGTTGAGATAACTATGCGTCCCTTATAAATTAGTGCAAATATACCAGAAATTCCTATTTTTTATCACTATCAAAACTCCTTTGAATTAAAGTCAGACACTTAATTAGTAATGTCTTTTGACGACTGCTCCCGCTTCGTCAAAAGACATTTGATGTGCAAATTTAATGTACAGGTTATTTTTTTGATTGTGATAATGAAAATGGCACTGAACATAGAACAATGCGTTAAATGTGTCCTGTGGCTGCAAACTGTTAGAGAATTTCTACTGAATTGCTTAAAACAGCGGTTCCAACCGCTGGTTCCTGGAGAAATTCGGACATTGATCATCTGAAGGTTACGCGAAGTATTACGAAAGAAATGCAAATTGCTTCATTGCTTTTTCTCACTCATTTGGTTTTTTTTATTTGAATAAGTAAAATAAAGTAAAATGGAATTTCTATGATCATTATTCTATACATGTTTATATCGTTGAAAGAAATTTATGATATTGGTCCGCGGAATTCAAAATTATGAGTTTAAATGGTCCGTGAGGTCACAAAGGTTGGCGATCGTTGGCTTAAAACATATACAAACACTACAAGTACATCTACGGATAACATCGAACAATGCGATGATATGAATGGCAAAGTCCATTCCAAGAACAATTGTCATAGCCTTTTCCTCTGGCTATGCACCAATGCAATAGAAACATGGACTCTCTCAGGATCTAGTGACAATCTGAGTGTGGCTACTTGATTGACACCGTTTCTTCAAATGTGCAATACTAATGCATTATGTAATCGTGCTTAGGCACTTTCAGGAATCATAAACAAGACAAAACTCGTGTTTTGCACACAATTCAAATTTTACACACCTAATGTTCAGTTGTTCCGTGGTCAGTACAATTTTCAATTTTGTCATATAACGAAAAATCCCTCATTAAAACTTTTAATTTTTCTGGCAGTTGTGGTAGGATTAGAGGTTCATACGAATAATGTGTTTATGATATAATTTTCAAAAGTACCGGCGCTAGGATTTTTATTTTGGGAGCGCAGATGAGAGATGGCTATTATTTGTACATTTTATCATTAAACTAATCGTTAAAATTTAACAACTGATTCTCAGTAAGACGTACAAACGGAAGAAGTTTAGTAAGAATATTTAATTATAGTCATATATCCTAAAAAATGCACAAATTTCAGCAGCGTTAACCGGTAATTTCGAATAATTGCATACGCGTAATTGGTAGATTTTATACTGAAAATCGCGAGAATGTAAAATCTTATACAGTTAAACAGTTTTTCTGCAATGGGATTTCCATCGTGTAATATCTTCAGCATCATTTCAAGGTTAGAGCAAGAGGTAACTGAAGAAAGAACGGGAAGCAACCGAAAGAGAAAAAAACGATTGAAAGAAAGAGGCCTTGGAAAAAATTGGACAAACGCTTATAAAATTGGAAAGAAGGTTCAAAATTTCTCTTGGACATGTTCTTCGAATCTTGAAGAAATGTGAAGTGATTCTCAAGAAACGAAAGTCTGCTCCAAAATACACAACGAAGCAACATGATACTCAAAAAACTCTTCTGTTGAAGCTGCTTGATGGAGTTTCGAAGGCGTCAAACAATTTCGATGTGGTTGGAGACTACGTGTCTTATTTCATTTTTGACGGAAGTGAATCTGTCGGTAATCAATATTTTACCAAGGAAGGTCTAGATGTGGATTCCGAAATGAAATTCAAACGACATTCCAAACTTTTCGCCACAGCTTCTGATTTGGTTGGTAATCAGTCCAAAGGGGCCTTCGTTGCACCGCTACGGCTTTCCTTCACCAAAGTATATGACAAGAAATGCATTCAGAAGAGTCTAGTATCTTTCCTAAAAGAAATAATATTCTGACCATGAATGTCTTCTAGCCAGATATGACCACAGTCCATTATGCTCACTATACAGCTGCCATATCGAACCATTACTAAATTCGATACATCTCCCATGAAGTCAACGTTCCAAACGTTGCGTAATTGAGATCGATTGAGAAATTTTGGTACCAACTGAAGCAAACATTTTACGAAAACAATTGGAAAGCTGGATCAACAAAGTTCAAGAGCAGAATCAAAGCCGCAACTCCAAAGCTGGCTACTTCCGGAGGTTAATGGAACAATTTAAGACTAAAGTTGGATTTGCAGTCGATCGTGGACGTGAAAATGAACGTTAACAATTCTCCTTCATCCAAAAACTTTAAAACAAATAATGTATTTTGATGTAACATTATTTAAAATTCTTGAATTATTTCAGATCAATTAGTTGTTGTATACAAGTTTATGGATATAATGAAAGGAAATATCACGTTTATTGTGAAAAATTTGGAGAAACGTTATGCAATTTGTGGAATATTTATTTATTCGAAATCAGGTAAGTGTCTTTTCAACATAAAAATTACAGCCGTTCCTTGATAATCCGACAGGTATGGGACCAAAGGGGTGTCGGATTACCGAAAGTGGTTACATATTTGGCATTGTTTTGATAACAGTAGCCTACAATATTCCATACTCCAACTGTTCGAACAAAACTGTTCACTGAAAACACACGAAACGTGTGTCATCGTGTAAGAATTGGGTGGGGAGATTCACGTCGCCACTATGCTTCTGTGCAAGCAGACACGTAACGGGGACGGGTACCTTGACGGGAGGTGCGTCGGACTACTGAGCATGTCGGATTACAAAACGTCGGACTAGCAAGGGACAGCTGTATTATTTTTTTATTTAAATTTCGTTTTGTTCTTTTAAAATTTCTTAGTTGAACATTTTTTATTTTGAAAACCGTAAGCCGAATATCAACAACATAATATAATATAATGAATATTCTTGTAATATTACATCACTTTTATATTCAGTGATAGAAGCATCGTATTAAGATGTAATATCGCATCTAAAATGAATCTGTAATGAATTTGAAACAGATTCTTGATAGATCTGTTATAAATTTATTACAGATTCATTATAGATTTATAATATTCAATGTGTAATATATCTATTACAAATATATTTTAGATTATCTNGTATAAATAAATAAAAAATATTTACATTTGTTTCTTTAACAGATCTGTTTATTAAAATCGTTTGATTTAATAAACATTCTGTAAATTGACTGAAGTTCGAGCAGAGAGTAATTCTGTTACTTCTTGTGAATGTGATTGTACGCATTTTCATCCACGTTCGACTTTATTATGTCTATTAACATTAATATCAGTCTATGCTTGCACTCGAATGTTTTTACATTTTTTCATTAATATAAGAAATTGAGGGCTGTGAATATGCTCGTGAAAATCCAAATGGTTCGCTACATTTTCTTCTTGTTCTGGTAATACTTCCTCGATGATTTCGTCTGCTGACTTTGCATAAGCCACTTTCTTCATTCTTTTATTCTCNGTTTTATAGCTCTATTATAAATATTTTATAGAAAATTTTATAAGTTTGTTATAGATTTTTACAGACTTAAAATAAGCCTATTCAGATCTATCGTAATTTATTACAGATATATTATACATTAATTTATGATAAATCTATCATAGATTCATTATTGATTTATTGCCTATTGTATTGTTTATTTCTGATAAATCTATATGTAGGTCGATATACCCATCTACCAACCTACATAGATTTATTTATTTATTATTTATCCTCTCTGGATCCATTATAGATCTACTATCATGCAAAAAATAAAATAACCTGCATGCTCACAAGAACATATTAATATCCATTAAATCCAACTACACACGGCCTTTTTGAAGTACTGAGGAATCTTTACTCTTATATGGTATTTTATATGCCTTGTCTCTCTTTAGTTACAACAATAAGTAATAACGTTAGATATTGAAGACAGGACATCTAAAGATCATTTCTTTAATATCTAATCTGTAAAACTTCAGGCAACTAATTATAGGATTCTGTTAACATGTTGTGTGGTGGCTATTAGTCTCGGTTTGTCGCTAGTTTTTGCCATTATACTTCTGGTCAATAATGAAGAAAAGGGCTTTACGGGCCCAATGTTGGGTGATTTCTCCCTCCCACAATCTACTGTTTAAAGGTTCTTGTTTTTATAGGAATTTCTTAGAATATATATATTTTTTCACAAATAATATTACAAAATCCAGCAACGAGTTGTATAACTTTTCCGGCTATTAAAAAATCACTTTTACAGTATATTTTAAACTCAGTATAATAAATAAATTCCGTTTCTTCATCATTAACCTATCGAAAATTTTGAAGAAAATTGTATAGGTTTTATTTGTTTTATTGACAGAAGAAAAGTGCTTGATTTCCTCAATTAATATAACGAATGGATTTATTACACCGAGAAATGTTACTGCGTTAAATTATGGAGAATATGGATCATTTAATTGTAGAGAAGGATTTCTGCCGAATAGAAATCAGCACTTTTACTGCGGGGTGACAGATATATCGACACAAATCCCTCAATGTCAACGTAAGTTAATAAATTATTTGTGTCATTCTCTACGTAAAATCTTTATTCAATATTATATTTTTCTTTATTTGAATTTTAACTAAGGAATTCCATGCAATAACACTCCGATCAAAGCAGTAAATGGAATGTGGAAAAATTGGAACAAAAGTAAAAATTATTATTTCGAAGATGAAATTTATCTTGTTTGCAATAAGGGTTATACATTATTTGATAGAATAGTTAATAAATGCCTTAAGGATGGAAATTGGTCTCATACTTCTGCAGTTTGTTTAGGTTTGTAATTGTATTTTTTTCGTCATTTATAAATGTTTAAAACGTTAAAATAATTGCGATTTTGTACAGAAAATAAACAACAGCAAAGCATACCGAAGCATTTGGGTAAGTAATAATAGAATTAAACTTTAAAATATGTCATATTAAATCGAATATCTTTTCCAGTTATTACAATAGGAATCGTTGTTACACCCGTGGTTTTTATGGTATTAGTTGCATTGTTTATCCTATCTAAAAACAGGTTAGAAGTTTTTGTAATACATACGTTATTAAATACCCTAAAAATGATAAATTATCATAAAATTTTTAAAAATAATATTAATAGTTTTGGATTCATTTAATTTAGGAAGAAAATAGTCCAATCTGTTAAAGAAATAAATCAAGAAAATACCTACAATGAAGTGAATCAAATAGATGAAGATTTACCTTCGATTCCATTTCCTGAACTAGTGATGAATTTATTATCATCTTCAACAAATATCAATGATGATGATGATGATGATGAATGATCCTTATATGAAACGATAAATATTCTCCATGATTCTAACGTGAATATAACAGAAACAGAAACTAGTATTTTAAATGAGTTTAATAATAGAATTGATATATGTAATAAATTATATACTTCTGTTTAAATCATATTTTAAGTAATTTAATTTTATAAGGTTTTAAATGGCTGTGTGTATTTTTAATTGTTATAAAACAGTGTAAATTACATTTATTCATTGTTATATTTATTTATTAAATGCAATATAAAAAATTCCAGCAAGGAGTTGCATAACTTTCCCGGCAAAATTTAAAATTGTGGTAGAACCATCTATTACGATATTTTATTATAAACTTTTTATATTATTAATTATTATAAAATGGCAATAAGATTAATTTTCAGGGGAGAGATGATTTTTATTTAATGGTATTAATCCCCTAATACACAAATCTCAAGTGTTGACTTCCGACATTTTTCTTCGGGAGAATTTTGGGGGAAATATTTTCTTATAAAATATTAATGTAGGCCCCCCTATTAGTCAGAGCTCCTGGCAATTGCCCTTTTTGCCGAATAAGATAAAGCGCTACTGACTATATAAATGTTTCAATATCACTTTATAAATGAGCATATATTACGAGTATCTTAAAGATTGCTATTATTTATATATTTTTTTTAGTGTTTTATTGTAACGTTCAATAGCACATATTATTTTAGTCCGTGGTGTTGGTACTCATTGACACATTCCATGCTAAAGGCTGCAACTTTATAAGAAAAATGTATACGAAGTTTCCTTGTGCCCAGTAAAGGTTGCTCATCACTGCTCTAAACTATACTTTTAACGTTGAAACAAATAAATTTAATTTATAAAAACAAAGGAAACTTTTTAGATTTGTTCGTTCTTGTAGGAAGTTGAGGTCTGTATTTATCGTGGAAATTTAACACTTGATAATTCACTTCACAGTATTCATTTTCTGACACAGTTTCTTCCATTGATTCTTCGAATTCCTTAGCATAAGCTATGGTTTCAGTTCTTGAATCCGATAAGATCTTTTTCTTTCTAAAACAATTTTATAATTTTTATTATGAATAATTATGAAATTATTTTGATATATAGTTTCAATTTTTATTAAATATTCTATCTACAATATACATATAATAATTACAAGTATCTAAATTCAATTCCAATTAAATCATTGAATACATAATTAACTGCTATATATATATTATAGTAATTTTTTTACCTGTGTTTAAATACGGTGAATAATCCAATCAACAATGTAATTAGCCCAATTATAACAGCCATCAAAATTATAATTACTAAAAAATAAATATTATATTTAATCAAACATTTAAAATTTGATTCAATTATTATTTACTTACCTAAATACATTGGAAATTTCTTCTCTGTAAGAAATATAAATTATTTTAACTGCAATAATTTCTTTATTTTAAAATATAAAATATTTACATACCTATACAAGCTGCATGAGTATGGGACCATTCTCCATTCTTAAGACATTTAATACTTTCTGTGGCATTTAATTTATAACCAGGATTACAAATAAGACGAATTTCGTCTTCATAAAAGTAACGTTTAGTTCCATTCCAATTTTCCCACATACCATTTAATATATTTATCGGAGAATTTTTGCATTGAATCCCTTCATAAAAATTTAATTTAGGCAATTAAAAATGAAATAAAATTTTAAGCATAAAAGCTGTCCGAATGGTTTACTTACGTTGACATTGAGGTATTTGAGTGGATATATCTGTCACTCCACAGTAAAGATATCGATACCCATTCAGTTGAAAACCCTCATTGCAGTTAAATGACACGTGTTCTCCATAGCTTAACGAGTTAACATTTGAAGGAGAAATATATCCATTTGATGGATATAATGATTGAATGGGACATTTTTCTTCTGTTAACGAAATATAAATTGTCAATTTTCATTAAATATTTCGTGTAAAAAAGTGTTTTCAGCTAAATCAAATTATGTAGGTTGTTTTATATAAGGGGTAGTCTATAAATTACGTCTATTTTTCTTGAAATTTTTACTCTCCCTTCCCTTCTTGTCCCAGTTTGTCCACGTTTCTATAATCTCTTTCCCTCTTCGGACGTTCAAGAAAACATTTATCATTTTAGGAATGATAAATATCATAAATAGAAACGAAACATAGAAGAAATTCTGAAATAAATATAATAAACTGTATAAAATTTAATGAAATAAACATATGCCCATTGAAGCTCAACCCTCTCCTCCTCCTTATCTTAATATATTTCTTGTTTACTGTGGAAATAGTGTTTTACGAGTGATGAAGAAACAAGAAAATTAATTTTTATTTGATATAAACACCGAAAGAAAAAAGGTACAGTACTTGCCTGATTTTGAATAAACGGAAATTCCACATACTTCAAAGTAACGTGAAAATTTCTTCTTTAGAGTAAATTTAATATCCTCGTTCATAACGTTTTTAAATTCATATGTAAATTGCACAGTATCTGAAATAATAAAAATATCGATATAATATTTTTATATAATGGCATCAGTATAATTCTTTATAAAACAAAAATATGAATATAAAATATATCAATAGATGCACTAAAATTCGTAAAAATTTTAACTGATTTTAACTTAATAAACAAGAAAAAGTATTACTATTAATTCTTTAAGTATCCTCATATTAATGTTTCTTAAATATTAAAAATAATTAAACAAATATTAAAATAAGAGCCACAACACAAAAATGGTTATGGCTTTTCTCTTCAAGGATCCTGTTTCATTTAATGTAATACATTTAATTTTGCATCCTTATATTGCATTTGGAAGACTGCTTCTTGTGTTGCCTTATATATATTTTAGGAAATAAATAAACAAATAATTTACAGTCGACCCCCTATAACACTGTTGATTATTCCGTTTTATATGAATTCCATGTTGTACTAGTCACTTAAATTTTACAAATACATGAGCCGTTTACAGCCCGGCACACCTATTTGTAAAATCTAAGTGACTCGTACAACATGGAATTCATATAAAACGGAATTATCAACAGTGTTATAGGGGGTCGACTGTATATGCGAAAAATGATAAAAGATTTATTGACTTACTTTGTCGACAACTAGTTTTATATCGTTCTTTGTATACATATCTATTAACACTTAAATTCACGACAGGACATCCAATGTCATCTCTGTTTGCTAGAAGATTAAAATTATCAATAAATTAATTATTTATAAATAATAGACTCCGCTTATTTTAATCACATTGGAACTTAATAAAATCAGTGATTTCGATGAGCGGAGTCTACTGTAGTAATAATTTAAAAAAAAAAATTTACCTTTAAACAATATTCTAATAGCTGAGAAAGATTGATTATTTACTTTTATCTCCCAAGACGTGTTACCACCGAATTCTACACATCGACTGTAACTAAGTATTACTTTTTTGTCATTACCGTCTTTCCAAATCTCCGTAGGGATTGTCCTAGCTGAATCAAAGTAAATTATGTATTATAGGAAAAAACATAAAATATATGTATATCAAAAGTAATGCATGTTTCATTACTTTTCATTTTATTAAAATTGAATGTAAAAGTATTGTTAAATGACATTGCGCTTGTATAGTTCAGTTGTACTGTACATTTCTATGTTAGCTAAATATATATAAGTAACGCGAGGAAGATGATTATCCTTTTGTTTGCCTATGACTTCATCTCTACCCTACCCCCAACCTATAGGATAAGATGGTTTTTCACGTGATTCACAATTAACGTGGCTGCCTTATTGTTTCATCAACAGATACACTTAACAAGTGTTGTGTTATCATTATTTCCGAAGAAAATACCGAATGTTTTAGGTTTATGGAGGGGACATATGTCGAAAAACTCACGAACTTTGAGGTTCTATCTTCCCCTACTTACTCATTAATTTTGAATAGTTATCAATTTACAATCTATGAGCACCAAAAGAGCCTTTGAACACTCCCAATAAAGATTCAATTAGGATCGTAATGAGATAAGGGACTGGACCTAACATTCATAGTCAGACTAATTATGAAATATTCTCCCGAAATCGAATCCTGATACCTCAGATGTCTTACCAATTCATTTAACATTATATCTATAATAATATATAGCGTAAAATTTTAATTATTGGTTTTATATTCGTGGTTTCATCTTGTTTTTGATCATTAGCTATTTATTTTCAATAGTAATAAAGCTCTGTTGCGCTCGTCCCTTCAATTGTCGGTTTAAATTCTCAAAAAATACACGTATTTCCATTCTCGTATATATTATTTCTGTGGCACGCATTTACTATTAAGTTTTTAAATGTTGATTAATTAGAGGAAACATTTTAATCGATCGATTTAACACATTATTTAATGTAATTTCCTTCCATCGAGAACACGATACTTGAATATATTTAATGAAAATGTTTATTGTACATAATTCTGTTTTACGCTATTAGTCCAACATATCCTATAAAAAAACATTATAATAATATTAGTTATTTACTATGGAATTAATAAAATATTAACTCACCACAATAGGGTATTTCTCCTTTCCAACTTCCATCATCTTGACATTTTAATGTTTCATTACCAAACATATAATAATAATAATCCTTGTTACATTCGTATTGGTGCATGTTATCATTAAAAAATCCATTTTTAATTGTGATCGGTGTACATTCTATAATTAAAAAAATATTAAGAGAAAATTCGTATGTCTAGCATTTTACAAACAAAATTAATACTTAATGACAATATAGAATACACTATTTTTGTTAAAAAATAACATAAATTCCTTCTCTAAAGAACTATTTTACACATATTTAGATGTAAATATATTAAAGTTTTAAATGAATTAATTACTTGAGTAATTCCGCACTTCTTTACTGACAAAAACTAAGCTTAATCCTGTAAATATCATTAATTGATTGATAATTCTTTGGCACATTCGTAAATGAATAATTGTTAAAACCAGAACGAAAATCTATAACGTTTATTCTGATATACTTATATTTTCCGACGGAAAAACCTCGACTTTTTCCTTCTTCCGTCATATCACGTGATACTATATCCTGTAATTTAAATTCTAACAAATGTTATGTATATATATATATATATATATATATATACTTCAAGTTTAGCATATTAAATAGTAATGTTAATTTCGATTATTTTTTTTAATTTTAAGGTATATACAGTAGATAAATAAATGTTATGTAAATCATAAATTCTTTTATACATTATTACGTGTATAAACAGCGAGGTTCTAGTTTTGTTTTGGTGTTCCCCTTAATAGGATGAAGTGCCAATAATTGGACATATACCAGGAACCGATTGAGACGTAATCGGATTTATGTACGTAATTGATATACGTATATATTAGTAGTAGTTATCACTAAGGCGCTAGATAACCCAGGTATGCTCATCCGCCATGTTGGTCCTTAGAAAGCAGACGACTCTCGTAGAAGTTCAATAGAAGAGACACGAAAATAATCATAAATTCAACTGTATCTTAAGATTTTGCAAGGTCGAAATGATAAACTTTGCCAAAATTTAGTTCAACTAGTTATAAAATACAGCTAAATTTAAAAATCTTGGAATATGACGTCAAAAGGACCAATATGGCTGCACATGTGACGGAAGCGTATGAGCATACCTGGGTAATCTAGCGCCTTAGTTATCACTAAGAAAATCCAGTGACGAGTCGTTGTTAAGTTTCCTGGCAACATTTAAAATTGCGTGTGTGGCGCCTTCTGTTAAACATTTTTAATAATAAAATATACATTTTTAATTATTATAAAATGGCAAAAAGCTTAATTACGATGAGTTTTATAATAATAAAAACAATTATAAATTTTAATAACGAGTAAAATCGTCATTAAGTCTGATCCTATTGGTGATACACAAGACCTCCTTTATCTTCTCATCTCTCGACTTTTAACCATCAAAATTTAATAATATCAATGCTCCTTATATGCAAGTCACCATGCCAAACTTTCTTTCTTAATATTTCCCCATTCTGAGATATTAAGTGAAATAGACGCCAAGCACGGATTTTTTTGCCATTTTTTTTTTATTCAGGCTGTCTGAAAACGTGGAGATTTGCAAAAAAAAAACTTCCTCATAAACTTACAAGGAGAGGGCAAGACGTTCGGCCCTCTCCTTGTAAGTCTATGAGGAAGGTACTTTCGACGATTGAGGTAAAAGAAGTCAACGGTGTGTGACAACAATGCAATATTTACGTATTTTATTTATTGTTTTCGTGTTTTAATTTGTTATTAGGATATTTAATTGTGTTGTTTTTACCTTAAATTATGTATATTTGCTGTTTTAAGTTTATCGAAATGAGTTTTGTTTAACGTGTGGGAATTGATTAATTAACTTTATTTCTAATGGCAAAAATTAATTTGAACTTAAAACGATTCGGAGTTTGAATTGCCTCCTAGAATGAATTAAATTCGAAGTACGAGGCACTACTGTACTTACAAAGTACCAGAAAACTTCAGGTGACTGACAATAAAACTTATGTATCAGTATCCGTAACTATAAAATTCAATTAACATCGCGACAGGCAAGAAGAATTTTTTAAGGTATAAAACATTAAAAACCCGACAATAAGTAATAATAATTTAAAAATGTAAATTTTATAGAACGTTTCCCCACGACAAAATTGCTAAAAAAGCAAGTAAACACATAATACAAAACCAAATAATCAAATATACAGCATTCCAAATACATTTTCTTATTACGAAAAAGAATAAATACAGAAATTATAAAAACAACAAACTATAAATTTAGGCGAGTAAAAGCATTAAATACAGAAATCTTAAACTCAAATTACTTAAATATTAAATAAAAAATGGTAACGTAAAAACTCATGCAAACATATGATCAGCATCAAAAGCAAACTGTGTAATAAACACCACGCAAAGCAGAAAATAAGTAAAAACAGAGTAAACGTCTAAGAGCTAACATCTAATTTACAATGAAATGAATTAAAATTTTAAAATAATCGATTGTTTTTTTTTGGCAAAGTACAAAAAATCCAAATTACTGTAAAGGTAAATAAAAGCAGCGAAATAATAAAATATAATAAGCCAATCATGCTTAACATTTTAGAAACGAACGAACAGACACCAGTAAATATCAATAGGTAAGTACTAAAAGTTAACATATCATTTTAAATTCCTTATATTTGGCTATCAACTTAGCAGCAAAAGTGTTCTTATCATGTTCTCTTTTATTTAATCTCCTAAATATCTCTGCTTTTAACCTTTTTTTCACAGCTAGATCCTCAGTTTTTACAATCCCAGATAAGATTTTTAATTCTTCTTCCTGCCATCCTTCTTTTCTCAATTGTTCTATGGTTCTCCTGAACATACGTCCACTATACTTAATTTCATACGTAGACATTGGTTGATACTTCCTCCAATCTTCTCTTCCTACACTCCTACTTTTCTTTGCTTTTTCATTTTCCTCTTTCTCCCTCTGTCTTTTCCTCATCTCCGATTTTTCACTTTCTTTTTGTCTTTTTCTATCACTTTCTACTTCACTCCCTATTCTTTTCACTGCTTTATCCTTATTGCTTTTTACATCTTCGAACTCTTTTCCTTTTTTTCTAATTTTCTCTTCTAACTTCTCTTTTTCTTTTATATCATCTTTGCTCTTCTCTACTTTGTCTGCCTTCATCTCTTCTACTGAAGTATCTATTATTAAATTTTCTTCACTACTACTGTTTTATTACTTCCTTCTGTTTCTGTATTCTCTATATTCACATTTCCTTTATTTATTTCCTTTTCTTCTACCCCACTTCCTGCTTGTGTACAATCTTTCTTTCTATGTCCTACTAAGTTACAAATTAAACATCTTTTTTCTGGACACTGACTTTTTATATGGCCCTCCTTAAAACACACTTCACACTGCCTAACGATGCCTGGATAATATACTTCAATTATTCTATCCTTAACTTTTATCAGGTTTGGAATTTTTTTACTCGTTTCAATCAATAATATTCTTTTTCCGGTAAGTATCATAGGAAACTCTTCATGTGTCTCCTCAAAGTACGTTTTTATAATTCCATATTCTTTAACTAACTCGTACACATCTTCTTTTCCCATCTCACCAGGCACTTTATTTAATACTATTCTCTTACATTTATCGTCACAGCTTTCTAGTAATAATAATCTATTATCTATTTTCAAACCTGTTTTTAATATGGTCCATTTATCTTCCAGATTCTTCATCGTCACTTCTGTCCCTCCAGAGAGACGACAAATCTGAGCAATTTCAGCCTCTTTAATCACTTCGCGGATTGCTCTCACCAAATCACTCAGTTTAGGATTTTTATGTATTACTCTGAATGACTTCTCTCCCGGAAGGATGGCCAATTTCTTTTCATCAAAATCCATCTTCCTCCTTTTTTTCAGAGATTACGAAGATGCTGCAGGCAAAAGATTACACCGATAACCATAAGGAACCCAGGAGCACTCAGACCCTAATCCAGCCAGGATACAGTGAAGGAGCAGGAATAACCAAGTCAGTCCTCCTCTTCCTCCAGTTGGGTTAATAAACACAAAAAAAAAAACAGGACTTTTACAATTTCACTAAAGTTTACCACTGCTAAAAACAAGACGAAGGCATATCACCAATCACAGCAATATATAAATCCTGTTTTAAAAAATAGGATTTATATATTGTAAAAAATACAAATAATAAAAATTTATACAAATTTAGATATTCTTGTTGTCACTTTTCACAATCCACATTGGCGAAGTCGACCCTTATATGCTACTTTACCAGTCTGTAAACAAGTAAATCAAGCTATATGTAAGTCAAATATACAAAATTACATTTTGTAAATTAATTTACAAAACGAAATTTTGTATATTTGATTTACATAATTTTATGGAAAATATCCGAAGTCACGGAACTTTTACTTGATTTACATAGCTGTAGGCGGGGAAGTAGCCTGTCTAGTAGTCGACTTCCGCTAATGTGGATCGTTCCCTGTGATTGTGAAAACGACGACAAGGAAGATTACAAAGGTATTTTTATTTGTATAAGTCTTTATTTTAGAATTTTTTTCTTTATCCTTGCATTTCGTACTTTTCTAACATCATTAATTAAGTACACGGACGTGGCAGAAAATATTTCAAGGGGGAAAAGCTTGGAAATATTTTTATTTTATTTTTATTTTTTCAGGTTCTTTTTTACAAATAGATTAGGCCTATAGAGTACAGTATTGCATCAGTACAAAAATACTTCGTCGAGGGTGCAAGGTAAAATTTATCAATCATGTTTACGATTATAATTTATGCGATATTTTACTCAATTATAGGGGGAAATTGCCCCGTTTTCTTTTCTTCTCGGACGTCCATAAATAGGAGCTATTTTTTTAAATCTATATTTTCAAATTTATCTAGTTTAATTTTAAACACGTAAATATTCCTCATCATTATTATCATTAATTAACCCTCATTGCCCATTGGTGTCAGATGCCTTTTCCACTATTTCCTTCGTTTCTCTCTATCCATTGCCAAGTTTCTCAATTCCTGTACATTCGCTCCACATCTCTTCTTCACATCATCAATCCATTCTCTATATGGTCTACCTCTTTTGTTAGATCCATCCATAATACCATAGACTAGAGTCTTATTTTTTCTGTTATCATTCATTCTTGTGATGTGTTCAAACAGACGAAAAGACACTATTTAGCTGAAGTAGAATACCAAATGTTATCAAATGCTTTGTAAAAGAGTCCACATCACGGATGGTTCCTATTCAGTCAGTGGCGGTATGAGTTGCACCCACCAATATACGTGTAATGCTAGATATGTAAAATAACGTTTATACGGGCATGTAGATAAAGGTAGAGGAGCTTTCTAAAATATTAAAACTAATAAATACGTAATCTAATTCTAATTTAACTTATTACGATTAAGTTTTGAATTTAATACATGACTGAATATTGATATTTCTTTCTTTTATTCTCAACAGATTAACATACCGGACGAAAGATCTGTAATAAAATCGCTTTGTTTGTTTACGAATTAAGAAAAAAACCGACAGAATTGATATTTTATAATGATAATTAAACCATTTTGTAGTCGTGAAGAATTTAATTTCGTAGCTCTGGTACTCTAGTAGCTTCCTGTGTAAAGTAAAAATATGTTTATTATTGCATTAAATCGATAAATTTTATTAAATTTTTGAGAAGTATGAACCATTTTTTGTAAAGTTTACAATATTTTCTACAATCTTTCGCTTAAATAGAGTAAGAACTGTAATATAAATGTAGAACAAATAACAGAAAATGCCGTTTTAAGTAAAGATAATAATCAGATAAGTTCAAGTAACAAATCGCATAATTGTCGAGTGTAACACGCAATTTTTTTAAAAAATTATTTTAATAATAATAATTATTATTCTCAAAATAAAAAAAATATGTTTACCTGTAATAAAGCAAATGTATATTTTAAAACTTTGCACAGAGACATATTTACCTGGGGTTGGTCAGAGCAACGAGGGACGAAGCTTTACGTCAGAGCATGATTGAAGAAACGAAAGGAAAACTAAAAAATCCAGCAACGAGGTGTATAACTTTACCGGCTGTTGTGAGATTTTATTAAAAATGTAATTTTTATATTATTAATCAAATAAATAAAGTTGCTTGTGGCGTCACGAGATTTTGTTATAAAAAAACTTTTATATTATTAATTATTATAAAATAACAAAAAGCTTAATTTTGAGGGTAGAGATGAATTATATAAAAAAAACTTTAAATCCTAAAAACGAGTAAAATCGTCATTAAGTTCGACCCTACTCGAGATATGACACTAACCCCCTCTATCTCCCCACACCTTCGACCTTTAACCACCAAAATTTAATAGCGTCAATGTCCCTTATACACAAGCTACCATGCCAAATTTCGTTTCTTAATCTTTACCCCATCCTGACATATTAAACGAAATATATGCCAACATCCATTTACACATACATGCAATTCCGGGTATAAATTTTTCTATTTTTTTGGGGTTCAGGTGTGTCAAATCATCAAGATACCAAAATCTCGGACAATTAAATGTGATACGATTGCAATATTTTACTATAACAGTCGGAAATGTAACCTATGTTACGTTAAAACAACAGCCAATAAAGTGACAAAGTAAAAATTTGAGATGATTACAATATTTTCCCGTGTTAAAACAACCGACTTGTGTAGTCAAAATATGGCGAATTAGGTGTTAAACAATGTAATTTTGTGCATGGTCAAATGAATCTAAAATGAATAGAGTTGGTTTAGATGGGATAAAATGGGTATGACTCAATCGATGAAGTTTATAACTGAGCTACATTGAAATTTGGTGGTGGTAGTCTCATAGTCTGGGGCTGTATTTTGCGCCTGGAATACTACGTTCTATACCTAATAGAATGGATAGCGTTATTTACACTAAAATGCTTGACAATTATTTCTTACATTGATCATGAGCTCTTTCATTTGTCAGCAAGATAATGATCCAAAGCAGAAGGGCAATGTCAATGCTTCAGGGATCAAAATATTAGCCTGCTTGAGTGGTTATTTGCGTNCATTATATGGTCTCGAGCCAAAACTTTTTGAAATAAATTTTCGATATCACAATTACATTCTAAATTGCTAGCTATAATATAAGGGCTAAAATTAAAAATAAAATTATAAAAACTTACTTGTTAAAATAAAATGTGTGATGATATACAATTATACATACCTGGTACAAAATATTCAATTGTATGAATATACTTTTAAAGAAAATTATAAATATAGTTTTGTGAAGAAACGTACATAAAAATAACATAAAATAGTCTTTACTTTTTAAATATTAAAACAATCCACCTAGTAAAAATTGCTCCCTACCAGTGGCTCGTGGATTGAATCAGAGGCTGTCTTGGTAGGTGTGCGGTGCGGTGCACGCTTGCCAAATCCCGAGGGTGCCGATACCAGTTAAATCTCTTTTGTCTCATCACTAGTATATCACAAATGACGTGACAGGGTTGTTGTAAATTTTAAACGTTTCTCATCATAGCTGTAAAAATCTAAATTTGTTAAACTTAAAAGTCATTTGTTTCTAACTACTGTAATTCGTTTTAAGACCAGGTGTCCACGGAAATTTCCAAAATTTACAACTTTTACTCACTTTCATTGAACTGGAAAAATTTCTGTCTTTATTACATCTAATATTACGAAGAAATCAGTCCCACTGTACTCGGCTAGATATTGGTCCGGTTAGGCTTTTGTTTAAGTAAATTTCCGGCTCTTTCATCAGGGTTTTAAACAATTCCCTAATCGCTTAATTATTTAACTACTTCTTAAGTAGAAATAAGTCGAATCCGGTTACGTTGTACTCGAATATTTCTAGTCTCGGGAAAAAAAGTGGAAAGACAAATTTTTACGACAACGGATACATAAATCGTAAATTTAAGGAAAATAAATTCTAGAGCCTTTTCTGTACCTGGTGCATCTCTCTCATTCATTAAATTTAGTTGTAAATGACGCTGTCGAAGTAACGGTTAATTTTTTAACATTATACAAGAATTGTATACGTTTTTTTCTACATCCCCTTATAGATGGGACATACGAAATCGTAATATCACTAGTTTAACATCGAAATCCGCGAGTAATATAAAATCGGAGAGCGGAATAAATATATCAAATATTTTAATGGATTTTTTTAAACTCCTGTCAACTATACAGACTATCATAAAAAAATACCAGTAAATTCTTATCGGTTGGGTTAAGTTATAAATCTCGTTATTCACGTAATCGAAATATCTAGTGGGCAGGCGGCTAACAGCCCAGAACCGGTCCTTGATAGAATTGGAATCTTTATATGTGTAGCATAAACCCAAGGTCGTAGGCTTCCACCAGCTAAACCTGGTGAGGTTGGTGCTCTGTAAAGCGCATGCGCAAATCTGGCTTTTCGTAATCTGAAAATACAGAAGATTCCACTTGGCCATTAATATTCTAATATACAATAGCAATTTTTTTTCCACGTGTAGTATAGAAATTTGTAATAAGATACATAATGCGGTTATAATAAAACATTGTGCGATTATTTTCATATAATTAAAATTAATACAGTAGAACCTCGATTATCCGGACCTCTATTATCTGGATTTTCGATTATCCGGATTGTTCAAAATAAACAAAAATTTTACGAATTTGCTGGTTTGCACTTGGCGAATTACGACACTGTTTATGTACGTGATAGAATGCATAACATTTTTTGTTTCAACAACGTCTTACTCGGAATAGTGGCCGTAAACTCTTAAATATATTTTGCGTCGTAATAAAAATATAACTTGACATACTCGTTTATAAAAAATTTTATTTTCAAATTACATCATTTCTATGACCAAGGGCGGCGTAAGGCATGGGCAACGTGGGCCACCACCTATGCCTCGCGGTCCGAAGGGCCTCGCGCCTCGAAGGTTTATGCATTACTTAAAAGCCGAGAACGCGACGAAAAAATTTTACTCGTCATAAAACGATAAATAGTTTGTTAAATTTTTATTCATAAAAATGCAGTTTCAACTGCTGTTTATTTTATAAAATCCGTCTTCTTGAGCCACCAGAGGGCCTTTTAAACAATAGCTAGTCTGTTAGTGCTGCTCAGTAGTAGTCGAAATTCAATAACACATTTGTTCCTTGAAAATTTGATCACGATTTAAATATAGTATTTATTTATAATATTACCGATATGTCATCGAAAAGAAAGCGTGTTGTATTATCATTAAAAGACAAATTAAAGTATTTGTTTCGATTATCCGCATTTTTCCTTATCCGGACTACCTTCATCCCCAATTAGTCCGGATAATCGAGGTTCTACTGTATTTATTTATTTTTTAGAGAATACGAGGGAAGTGGCGCTTCCAACGCTTCTAATGACGGCACGCCACTGGTATAATTGACAATCCGAAATAGTATACAATGTAGAACTGTACTGATGTCTCCAACTAGCTAATGAATAGCCAAAGAACTAGCCAACAATCATTATTAATTAACACCAAAATAATGAAAATACAAAGCTATGGTAACATTTAATCTCATGGTAATTTCCTCCATTAACATTTATTGTGATTACATAAAAAAAACATATCGAATTAATATTGATTTACTTATCATACATTATAGAAATTTTTCTTACCGTTTTTTAAATATGATTAAGCATCCAACTATCAGTGTAACGAGCGAAAGGGCACCAATTACGACTGTAATAACTTTAAAAAAATAACAATAAACTATTCAATTAATCTTATAATTAATACTTAGAAACGTTGTTATTAACATACCTAAATAAATTGGGAAAGTCTTCTCTGTAAAAAAATAATGTAATAATTTTAACGTTCGAAACGTTATTAAGAAATAAAATTTCAGAAATTTTCAAATACTCAAGCATATAGAAGTAGTGTGAGACCATTCTCCATTCTTAAGACACTTAATACTTCCTGTGGCATTTAATTCGTAGCCAAATTTACAATTAAGATGTAGTTCATCTTCGTAAGAGTAATTCTTACTTCGATTCCAATTTTCCCATATTCCATTCAATACTTTGTTAGGAGAATCCTTGCATTCAATCCCTTTATAAAAAAAAAAAAAGAAAAAAGTTAGTCTAATGTACATAAATGAAAGCGAAATGAATTTACAAAAGAAGACTTTCTGAATAAGTTTCTTACGTTGACAATGAGATAATAACGTTATTGCATTTGTCACTCCACAGTAAATATAACGATATCCGTGTAGTTGAAAACCTTCGTTGCAGTTAAATGATATATATTCCCCGTAATTTAAAAGAATATCTGTTGAGGTAATGTATCCATTCGGAAGAGTTAGTGATGAAAACATGCAGGTTTCTGCTATTAATTTAAATAAGAAAAGTTCTTTTGAAAACTTTTATAATATTATTTTAAAATTAATATTGCACCCTATTCAATTTGAGAATAATTCCATTGATTTCTCGTGTCAAATAAATGTTAATTTGATTCTCATCCTTTCCATGTGAGAAGCAATTATCTACTCCTGGAATAAATCTTTTCATCCAGAGAAAGAATGATTTGAGTTGCAATAATTCGATTTATGTGCTACTCTACTCAATCCCACTGTATGTCTGTTCAATTGATTGAAATAGTGCACAATTTTACGTAAATTTTACGCCATTCCTTAGAGTATTTTTTGTTTAAAAGTGAAGTTTAGACGTCAAATTGACGCAAAAATATGCATTTTTACCATTCAATCGAACTGACTCCATATCTGACTTTCCTATAAAATCAAATTAGCCTATCGGATTAAGTGTAAATTTATCGATTATTATGTGATTTTTTGAGGAAATTTAGTTATTTTTATTGTACAAACTTAAATAAGACTAGTAATAAACTTTAGAAATTTCAGATGAATGATATTTAATGCTTACAATTTGCTATAGCGTTAAATATTTACGTAATATTAGAATCAGTAATATCTAACGCTGTATGTGAATATGGTAAATAAGTATCGGTTCTAAAGAGACAATGATTTGCCAATTACATGTTTATTTATTGCAAGTGACGTTTGTGGCAGAAGGAATTCTAACAAGCTTCATATTAACGTGGTTTAATTGTTGTCCTGTTTTCTCTACGTAAACATTTTAGCTACGTTCCTAAATTCTAATATATTATTTCTTAATTATCCTTTTCAACTTAGAAATAATGATAACTTAACGTTCCATGTCATAACATATTACTTATTTTTTCTGAAATTTTTAATTGACTTACTACATTCAACAATACAAAACGTACAAAGAAAAAAATAATAATAATAAACAAGTGATTATAAATATGAAACAAAAACACTTACGTTTTTTTGAATAAACGTAGATTCCACATATTTTGAAATCATGCCATAAATTTTCTCTTATAGTAAACCTAATATTTTCTTTTGTATTATACGGTAATTTATATTCAAAGAGTATGGGATCTAAAATAATTAAAAATATCAGTATGTTAAAATATCATCTTGTTGTATACGAGATAATTATTAATATAAAATACGTAGTAAACAGTACGGTAAGATATAAAACGAACTTTTAGCACAGATTTTATTACACAACACGCAGAAATTCTTATACCATAGTATCTCCTGCAACGTAATCTCCTGCATCTGAGCACTTCTGCCATTGTTTATATCACTTGTTCCGTTCCCTGAACACTGAGAGTTCGGTGGTGGATTTGCGTCTCGCCAAGACGGGGTGTCCACGTGGAGTTTCCGGGTTTCTTCCACGTCTGTAACGCCTGAATAGGGAGGGACTAGTTACCCTTAAAAAGACCTCCCTGAAGGCATCCCTCCTAGGCAGATTGCCCAAGTGTTGCGTTGACATAACGTAGCAAAACAAATTATATCATTTGTTAAATTAATTAATTCAGGAAACTATATTAATGGCTTTTGTTGCTAAATATTAGAAACGCATCCCCTTTTTAGAAAACAGATAATATCCTATAGAAGCAAATTCATAGATTTAAAGAGATTGGAAAGCATTGTTATGCCATTCTATTTGTATATTATCTGACCGGGAAGGACCTATTGAAGTCAAACTTGCAGCTATAGTAAGCGCTTATTTTGAAGGACTTCTTTAAATATTTTTCTATTAATGTGATAAAAGTTAATATTAAAAATTCAGTTTATTTTTGATTGTATCACATATAATGAATAATTCACTATACATACAAATCAACTAAAGCGTGATGAATTAATTGTTCAACGCTCAAATACCATAAATGCAAAATATAAAAGTAGCAGCGCCCGTTCAAGCATTTATGTAGCCCTACACAAAAAGGCAAATTGCCGCCCTTTAGATCATTTAGACAAATGTCCGGGTTGTCCGCCCCTAAAGCTGAGCCCTGAAATAGTCTTATTTTCCTCCTATAAATTCTCCCAAAATTACATTTTAAACATATTTTCTCATTGCTTTTAAAAACTGAAAGAGTAATTTTAATTCTATTCTAACTATATCAGTCAAAGGAATGTAAATAAAGAAGTACAAAATTAAATCAAATAGCTTATATGACAATAGTGGAAACTCTCAATGAATTTGCATGTACCGTAATGGAGAACACTAACTCTTCAGACTATGTAAAGTCTAACAAAACTTACAAAAATGCAACGAAATAAATATCTTATCATCTTTTTTATCTTTATTTTATTATCTTAAAACATCAATTATAATTTTATTTAGTAGGAAACGTGAATGGATAGTGATATAAAGGAAGGAATAATAGCAACAAAACAAGTCAAATGCAATGAGTCAAATTTTTTAAATTAAAATCTGAGGTTTTAATATAATCTTCACATCATCAATCCATTCTCTATATGGTCTACCTCTTTTGTTAGATCCATCCATAATACCATAGACTAGAGTCTTATTTTTTCTGTTATCATTCATTCTTGTGATGTGTTCAAACAGACGAAAAGACACTATTTAGCTGAAGTAGAATACCAAATGTTATCAAATGCTTTGTAAAAGAGTCCACATCACGGATGGTTCCTATTCAGTCAGTGGCGGTATGAGTTGCACCCACCAATATACGTGTAATGCTAGATATGTAAAATAACGTTTATACGGGCATGTAGATAAAGGTAGAGGAGCTTTCTAAAATATTAAAACTAATAAATACGTAATCTAATTCTAATTTAACTTATTACGATTAAGTTTTGAATTTAATACATGACTGAATATTGATATTTCTTTCTTTTATTCTCAACAGATTAACATACCGGACGAAAGATCTGTAATAAAATCGCTTTGTTTGTTTACGAATTAAGAAAAAAACCGACAGAATTGATATTTTATAATGATAATTAAACCATTTTGTAGTCGTGAAGAATTTAATTTCGTAGCTCTGGTACTCTAGTAGCTTCCTGTGTAAAGTAAAAATATGTTTATTATTGCATTAAATCGATAAATTTTATTAAATTTTTGAGAAGTATGAACCATTTTTTGTAAAGTTTACAATATTTTCTACAATCTTTCGCTTAAATAGAGTAAGAACTGTAATATAAATGTAGAACAAATAACAGAAAATGCCGTTTTAAGTAAAGATAATAATCAGATAAGTTCAAGTAACAAATCGCATAATTGTCGAGTGTAACTGTCAATTTTTTTAAAAAATTATTTCTTCAAAAAAATTGATGAAACATCATAGGTTAGATCCAAAGAAGTTAACCGANGGATGCTTCTCATCGTGGTCTGTTTGGCATTATAAATTAATAGTGAGGGTATTTCACCAGGCCAGATCCTGTACCATATGTAAAACAAGTTTGTAATCAAGTGCAGTGATAGGATACTAAATAAAATCTGCGTGTGGACAATTAGCGATAAGTTCAATATTAGATCGTAAACTTCTAATTCTGTTAGAGGAACAAAAAAATTGGATAAAGAACACCATTAATTTATATTAAGTGAACAAATAATAAACAATTTATATACCCTTGGCTTAAGAGGTTTTTGTTTGATGGTCGGAACACGCGATATAATTTCTATTTATTCTGGCCTTTCGTTTTCAAAATCTCGTCTAAATAGGTCCTTCTGCTCTTAATAACCCACTAAATGCATTTGAAAATCAATATAAACACATACGTTGAATGATAACAATATTTTAAAGGAGGAATGTTGGTATAAATGAAAACAATCAATTTGCTTATTAATTTACTTACACTTCTTTGTTGTTAGGGGACTCGCGATCACTTTATATCTTGTAATTAAAACAGCCATACATAGCGCAAATAATACCTTTTCCGGCCATTCTAATTATTGTGAGATATAATAAGTTCAAAACTTTATGTTAATACTCGAAAACGTCTTCTTATACACGCGGTACAAATGGAGTGATGTGTGGTTATCTCCTCGAACAACTAGATGGCGGGTAGAAGCTTGTCACCAGTTTCCAGCCGAAGTTTCCACTATTATCGTAATTTAAACTATTTGATTAAATTAACTAGAATCATTAATTAATGTCTAGAAATGCCCATTACTGTTATTTTCAGGTTCTACAGGAGTTTAAAATGTGCGCAGTCTTTCAAGAATACGGTCTATATTACTGAGTAATAATCATTATTCAGCATTGATAAAACGTTGGAAACAATTGAAACACTATAAAAATTTCAAAACCAGTTTTTTCCAAAGATTAACTATGGAAATTATCTATAATCTATGGAAAATATTATTTCAATATCAAATACAGTTTGAAACTTTCTTTACAGTAAGTCCTATTAATGCCTCTCACAATAAAATTGCCAACACGGAAACCGGTTAATCCGGTACTTAGCCCTGGTTATCAAAAATGCCAATTTTCTGGAAGTTTTGTATTTTCGCAAAATTTGATAAGATATTTGCGATCTGAACATTATATATATTGCTTTGAATTTTATAATAAAGCAAATTACTGTATGGTTCTGACTTCTTAGTCACGCTGTTTAATTAATTAATCAGTTTGAAAAAGATACAGTGAGTGACTGTATATTGCATGACTGCTACAATTGATTGAAAAAGCTGAATAAACCGTTAATGAACATGTTATTTTACAATGATTCTTGTACATATAGGTCTAAAATTTATTTTATAGACATTTATTGTATTTCTGCCTGGGGTCTTCAGAGCGTCATTTGTCCAAACGACTTCCAATTGATGAAACACTAAAATGCTAAATTATTGTCGGACAATTCTTGAGTATCGGGTGTCGAATATAATAATATTGCCTTCATCAATGGATTTGTTCTCATTATAACGAATCACAGTATAGGATGTATCACTTACAAATAGAGTTAATGATGTTAATGTTGACCATTGTACATTTAAATAATTAAAAAGAAAATTTAAAAATATANAAAAAACTTTTATATTATTAATTATTATAAAATAACAAAAAGCTTACTTTTGAGGGAAGAGATGAATTATATAAAAAAAACTTTAAATCCTAAAAACGAGTAAAATCGTCATTAAGTTCGACCCTACTCGAGATATGACACTAACCCCCTCTATCTCCCCACACCTTCGACCTTTAACCACCAAAATTTAATAGCGTCAATGTCCCTTATACACAAGCTACCATGCCAAATTTCGTTTCTTAATCTTTACCCCATCCTGACATATTAAACGAAATATATGCCAACATCCATTTACACATACATGCAATTCCGGGTATAAATTTTTCTATTTTTTTGGGGTTCAGGTGTGTCAAATCATCAAGATACCAAAATCTCGGACAATTAAATGTGATACGATTGCAATATTTTACTATAACAGTCGGAAATGTAACCTATGTTACGTTAAAACAACAGCCAATAAAGTGACAAAGTAAAAATTTGAGATGATTACAATATTTTCCCGTGTTAAAACAACCGACTTGTGTAGTCAAAATATGGCGAATTAGGTGTTAAACAATGTAATTTTGTGCATGGTCAAATGAATCTAAAATGAATAGAGTTGGTTTAGATGGGATAAAATGGGTATGACTCAATCGATGAAGTTTATAACTGAGCTACATTGAAATTTGGTGGTGGTAGTCTCATAGTCTGGGGCTGTATTTTGCGCCTGGAATACTACGTTCTATACCTAATAGAATGGATAGCGTTATTTACACTAAAATGCTTGACAATTATTTCTTACATTGATCATGAGCTCTTTCATTTGTCAGCAAGATAATGATCCAAAGCAGAAGGGCAATGTCAATGCTTCAGGGATCAAAATATTAGCCTGCTTGAGTGGTTATTTGCGTTTTATTAGGTAAATATTAGCATTTAAGAAGCCATCAGATGTGTTCAATTGCCTGATCCCCATAAATATTATATAGATTTTTGTCTCATCAAATCCTCCCAATGCATATCTTTTTTCTATGTTACTATTATTAATAAAATAATTATGTTGTTCGAATAATTATATTATAATTATATACATAAACATATAACAATGCAAATAAATATAAAGTTTTTCGTACTAAATGTACTTTTCAACATTTTCCAGTATTTTTAAAATAGTCTCTTGCGTTCTTTCGAAAGATTTTAAAGCTTACTGTATGTATTATTTAAGCCCATTAATGACCGAATGGATAAAGCCATTAAACACTGGTAGCGGGCGCGTGTTCATGCCTCAGTACCAAGCTGACGATTTGTAAAACAGTGTAATTAAATGGAAAAATAAATCATTCTCAAGAAAGAAGTTTACTCACAAATAAATCTCATTATTTTTCGTATAATTCAAATCGTAACTTGCTCCTTAGTCCATGTATAAGCATTTATTTATAAAATTCAAACACCGTAATTAAGAAAAATTCAATTTTATTAAAACATTATGAAGTGTCACTCAGATAAATCACAACAAAATAGATAAAAGGAGGATTACTCCACGAAGTCTATTCTTTTTTCGGTTCGAAGGATCATCAACATCTTTACACGGACACGAAACACGAGAATATTAGACTTTGAAATACTTTAATTACTGTTAACGTTAATGTATATGCAAAGAACGATCCGCGATAATCCGTCTCTTCAGCCACAGACAGGTGGAAATATCACGAAATTCGGTGAAAAATCAAACGTCAGTGGCGTAGCGTAGTGGGGGCGGCAGGGTCGACTTTGCCAGGCGGAGATGACCTTTCACCCGACTACGACTTAATGAACTGAACTCGACCTTTCATCTGGCTTCGTTTCTGTCCTTTCCAATTTACGGACAGACACTTGGGCACCGTCCGAGGACCCGTTCTTCCACATTGACTAAATTAAAGTCCACGGTGTGATGTCTATCGTTAGACTTAAATAAAAAACAAAGTAAAAACATTGTAGTCACTATATGTACAAACATTGAATATTAGTTATTTTAACAATTAAGACTACAATATTCGCATTTTTCTTACTTTTACTTCAAATATTATGAAATTGAAATATTTCATGTAACAGGTATATATATCGTCGTAATAAGTAATTTATTCATTTCAAAATGTATCAGTAACAGCAGTAAGCTATTCTACGTGTTTCGATTCGATCTGTTAGGAGAAGGGGAAAAGTTAAGTTAGAAATCGTATTGTTTACTCCCTGTTCTGTTTTGCTTACAATGACGTTTCTAATTTGTTTTAATAAATATATGATATATTGAAGCAATACGTTAAATATATGTCGAGAAACTAACAACCACAATATAAATATAATTAGTTTTACAAGCGTTCAGGATGTCTGTAATGACTTTTACAGTTGTCCTGAGCCCAAAAATGTAAAAATCTTAGTGGATAATTTTTCGACTAATCGCCATACTTTTTCTTTGTTATACAAGTCGACCCCCCTATAACACTGTTGATTTTTCCGTTTTATATGAATTCCATGTTGTACGAATCACTTAGATTTTACAAATACGTGAGCCGGGTTGTGAATGGCTCATGTATTTGTAAAATCTAAGTGACTCGTACAACATGGAATTCATATAAAACAGAAAAATCAACAGTGTTATAGGGGGGTCGACTTGTATAACAAAGAAAAAGTATGGCGATTAGTCGAAAAATTATCCACTAAGATTTTTACATTTTTGGGCTCAGGACAACTGTAAAAGTCATTACAGACATCCTGAACGCTTGTAAAACTAATTATATTTATATTGTGGTTGTTAGTTTCTCGACATATATTTAACGTATTGCTTCAATATATCATATATTTATTAAAACAAATTAGAAACGTCATTGTAAGCAAAACAGAACAGGGAGTAAACAATACGATTTCTAACTTTACTTCTCCCCTTCTCCTGACAGATCGAATCGAAACACGTAGAATAGCTTACTGCTGTTACTGATACATTTTGAAATAAATAAATTACTTATTACAACGATACTGTTACATGAAATATTTCAATTTCGTAATATTTGAAGTAAAAGTAAGAAAAATGCGAATATTGTAGTCTTAATTGTTGAAATAACTAATATTCAATGATTGCACATATAGTGACTACGATGTTTTTACTTTGTTTTTTATTGAAGTCTAACGATAGACATCACACCGTGGATTTTAATTTAGTCAAAGTGGAAGAACGAGTCCTCGGACGGTGCCCAAGTGTCTGTCCGTAAATTGGAAAGGACAGAAACAAAGCCAGATGAAAGGCCGAGTCCAGTTCATTAAGTCGTAGTCGGGTGAAAGGTCATCTCCTCGTGGCAAAGTCGACTTCGAAAAAGAAAAAATCGGCGGAGAAAAGGTTTATTTCCTGCAGAAAAGAAAAGCCTTTACCACCAAGGATTCTTATTCTTGACCGGATTTTTTCAGGATTCCTTTCGACTTTTGTCCGTCGAGTCCTTATCGCGCGACCGCCTCTCTACCGTCCATTCCGCCACTTCGGGTATCGTCGTGCCAGGTACTCGATCAGAGACGAGGTGCTTTCGTTGGGAGATGACAACAGCCCGTTTCTTGTCGAGTGCAGTCGAGCTTGCCTCTCAACATCTTTCGGAAGCACCCGAATCACTCGAAGGGAAGTGGAAGATGTGGAAGAGGTCGAGGCGCTTTTCTCCTGCTTAACATCTCTCGAATTGTGCCACTTTCTCAACTCTTTAAAATTGTCCATTCTGCAATGAAAAACAGGCGACTGTTGTAAAAATATTCCTATTGTCTTAATTTCTTCTAAATTGTAAGTACAGTAATAAATATATTAATTTTTTTATGTAAAATTAATTTTAAAATGCAATAAAGATTTGTGGTAGAAGATTGTAGAAAATGATCGTTTCAATTAAAATAATTAAAAATTTCAGTCTTTAATTATTAAATATAGTAATTTTAATCTTTGCAACGATTTTTACTGATCGATATGTTACTGCTAAAGCTCGAAATCCGTTAATGTGCGCATTACCTAGCTAATCTGCAGATTAACTAGGGTGATCCGTTAAAGCTGCGAAAATTNGATTCAATCAACTAATTTGTTGATTGTATTAACTTGATTCTTTAGATATTGAAAATTAAATAAATAACATTATGTTAATTTAAGCGTACAGAAACGTTGCTGTTGTTCCAGCAAAAATCTTATTTTCACTTTACCGAGTGCCTAGTAGGTAATTTGCAGATTACCTAGATAATCTGAACATTACCTAGGTAATTTGAGAAATGGAATAATTTTCGCAGCTTTAACGGATCACCCTAGTTAATCTGCAGATTAGCTAGGTAATGCGCACATTAACGGATTTCGAGCTTTAGCAGTAACATATCGATCAGTAAAAATCGTTGCAAAGATTAAAATTACTATATTTAATAATTAAAGACTGAAATTTTTAATTATTTTAATTGAAACGATCATTTTCTACAATCTTCTACCACAAATCTTTATTGCATTTTAAAATTAATTTTACATAAAAAAATTAATATATTTATTACTGTACTTACAATTTAGAAGAAATTAAGACAATAGGAATATTTTTACAACAGTCGCCTGTTTTTCATTGCAGAATGGACAATTTTAAAGAGTTGAGAAAGTGGCACAATTCGAGAGATGTTAAGCAGGAGAAAAGCGCCTCGACCTCTTCCACATCTTCCACTTCCCTTCGAGTGATTCGGGTGCTTCCGAAAGATGTTGAGAGGCAAGCTCGACTGCACTCGACAAGAAACGGGCTGTTGTCATCTCCCAACGAAAGCACCTCGTCTCTGATCGAGTACCTGGCACGACGATACCCGAAGTGGCGGAATGGACGGTAGAGAGGCGGTCGCGCGATAAGGACTCGACGGACAAAAGTCGAAAGGAATCCTGAAAAAATCCGGTCAAGAATAAGAATCCTTGGTGGTAAAGGCTTTTCTTTTCTGCAGGAAATAAACCTTTTCTCCGCCGATTTTTTCTTTTTCGAAGTCGACTTTGCCACGAGGAGATGACCTTTCACCCGACTACGACTTAATGAACTGGACTNATTTACATTAAAATGTCTTAAGTGTCAATAATAATGCATTATATTTAGGCTATTACAGTAAATATTGGTTTTCTTATTAATATTATTTTAATACCAGTGAATGGTTTCCCGAATACTTTTATCTCCCAAGATTCATTATTTTTAGCTTCTACACATTGACCATTGAGGAATATTTCTTTTGTATCATTAAACACTTTCCATATCACAGTAGGAATTGCTGTTGCTGAAATAAAATAAACTATCTGTTATAATAGGTACCATATCGTACTCTAGTCAATGTTACACATATGTCAATTGTGAATAAATACAAATGATTAACTTTTGGAGTAATAGAGGACAATAAGAAATAAAACATGGCGGAAATGAGTATAACTTTTTTATTGTGTTTCACTAAGCTGTTACAAAATAAACTACGCGTTATTAATGCTGATAAGACGACGCTTTCAATGCTCGTTAAGAAGTAAGATAAAAAGGAAACCTGTTTGCAGGCGCTCATTAAATACATTACATCCAATATTCCTCATGGTTTAAATTCAAATTGTAAGTTTTCCATTGGCAGCAACGAGCAATAACAAAGAACGTTCATAGGCAAAGAGATAAAACTTTATTCCATCGAAGCGATGGTGTTTGCGATTATGAAAAGGAATTAATTAAAAAGATTACATTAATCAATTAGATGGATTTTCATTCTTTAGAGCATGAGGAAGATTTTATTATTATGACGTTACGTACAGTACATACTAAGATTTTATTGGCTGTCGGAAAAGGTAAACCTTACGTCAGAATGTTTCTTAGTATTGTGATTAGCAGCATGTTACTATAGAAACAATGTCTTGTGGCATTATTTCTATAGTAACTCCCACTCCCGCTATACACTTCAAGACTTTAATCATAATGGTTTCAGCCATCAATTGCGGTCACGTTAAGATTAAAGTTAAAAAAATCCTCATCCGTTAGTTCTTCGGTGTACTTCATATTACTAGTTTAATCAAGCTATTGCATTCGACGGCCGGAAAGCCGAGGGTGTATTTAGTGACTTTTCATAAACCCATTCATGTAGAGCATTTAGGTCCTACAGGGAACAAATATACTATTTATAAAAACAGATCTCTGCCCTCTCTCCCCATCTATTAAACCTTCGGACTTTGGAGTCTAGACAAAGCGATATTACCAGAGTGGATTCTCAAAATAATGAAAAGAGAAATCAACTTATAGGCGCTCGACCGACACCTCCAAATTGACCAAATATTTATTCATCCGAAATTTATTTTGTGGCCAGAAATCTTTGAATAATTGTAGAAGTTTTAGGGATAATTACGATAAAAACTCACCGCAATATGGCATTTCTCCTTTCCAACTTCCATCTTCTTGACACTCTAACGTTTCATTTCCGAATAAGTAATAATTGCCTTTGTTGCATATGTATTTGTTTTCGCTTATGTTATAAATACCATTCTTAATTGTAATCGGTGGGCATCCTACAATCAATATCATTTATTCATTCAAATTTAACTAAGTAATTTTCATTAATTTTCTACAAAATACCTCTTAATATTCTCCAGTTAATTTTTAGTGACATTGAACTTTTTAAACTTTTTCTAACAGAACATTGACTCTACTTAATTTTAAATATTTCTTTAATTGATAAAAAATGTGAATTTAAGATATTTTCGTCTATTAAGAAAGGTTAGTGTTTTAAGATACACTATATCTTTGATTTCCGTAAATAAAAAGATTTTAAAATATTATTCATGATTTTTTAAATAGGTCTTAAAATGACACTATAAAGAAATTGCAAAGTTCAAAATGTTATTAACCAGACAAGGTTTATAAGGATGCACCGATAAGCAAAATGGCCGATTAGTGTTAATAATTTATTGTGTTAATAGTTAATTATATTATGATTATTATNTAACTAAGTAATTTTCATTAATTTATAATAAAGTTATTTAAATTATTTTACGAAAATTTAAAATAATTACTTACTCGAATGATAATTATGCACTTTTCTACATATGAAAATTAAGTTTACTCCTGTAAATATTAATTGATAGTTAATCCCCTTCCACATTATAAGAATACACGTGCGTATATAAACATCTGTATAAAATATAATTGATAAAATGAAATAAATAAACAAAAAAGATGGCAAATTCTCGAACATCCTTATACTTTTCGACGAAAAACACTTTGATTTAATCATTCTTCCGGCAAATCACCGGCACCGCATCCTGTGCTCTATATTTTTTTTATAGGTATGTCAAGTCAAATTTACAAGGTTTCTTCTATTAATTCGCAAAATTACACTTCATATTTTATTTAAATAATTAATATAAGATTAAAGGTATCTTAAATGAATAAGTATATTATAATTATTATTGTATATAACTCTTTCATGTAAGTAATAATATCCTTAATCAAATTGAGAAAAATTACTTCTTAGTGTTCGGATGAAGAAATATCTTGGAAAAAATTTTAAAAACACGTGTATCAATAGTTAAATTATAAATTAATTTTGCTTAATTAAAATTTTAATGCAGTAAAATTGAAGTTCATTAACCCGGCATCCGGAGTACCAGGTTATCTGGAATGCTATTATTCTTCGAATCTGAATTTGCTTGGATACGTGGTGCACTAAAGGAACACCTAGATAGTGTTGGTTTACCTAGAGATGATTCGTGACTTGTCTTGTCATTGCACTTTGTCTGAAGTTTAGAAATATATTTATTCTTAATTTTAGTAAAAAATACGTTCCTTGGCTCAAATTCTTATTTCGATACAATGCCATTTTACTCGCGATGAACAAAATCACTCGTGCCCATAAACATACCATGAATTTGGCTTGTATCTTAGAAAATACTAATCAAAACAACGTGAAATTCAACACAGAGGAAAACATTGTATTCTTTGTACAACAAAACAATTAAAAAGTAAAAATGTGATCCAAATTACGACAAATTAAACACATGAAAAAGTACTAAGCCGAGAGCGATATGGCGTGCAAATGCCCGTTATATGCACAGCGATTGGTTATGCTGGTTATAAAGCTGTTTATTAACGAATTTAAGTGGAAAATCCATTGTTTAATGAAAACATCTTGAAGCTCCTGGTGTGTTCTTGGCGGTCGCTGGCGAGTTACAGGTTCGTACCTCTAGAGCATTCTATGGAATTTAGATCCGGAGATCTTGCTGGTCATTCTATAATACGAATATTTTCACTATAAAAAAATCATTGACATGCTGAATTCAATGTGCGTCAGCATAATGAAATCTGTACTCACAGCACATCAGAAAAGTCTGACTTTTGATTCCAAAATCTCGTTTCTGTATCTTCTTGTTTGACCTTCCAATAATTCTTTCTTTCTTAAAGTCTTTTATATGGCGTTTTTGTTAAATTATCACTCTTAGTATCATACAGTAAAACGGTAACATACTGTCCTAGTTAATTAAACCATAATAGAAAAAATGCCATGCTACTGTTACATTTATGGAGCCTGCATATTTTGCATAACTTGTGTTTTTATTGGTACATTCTTATACATTTTTGGTATTTTTATTATTTAGAAACGTTTACATAAATTTCCCGTTGTTTATTTATTTATTTTTAATTTTTCTCTATCAATTGTTGGACGTAGTATTTAGCCTATAAGAATATAAAAAATAATTATTTCGCATTTAGTAGCATTTTACCCAATTCACAATTGAAACGGGAGATTTTGGTTAGATTCATTTCTTTATAACTTTGCACAGATTTAATTTATTTACTTTATTACTATTGCATTTTTATCGAAGTTCTAGCATCACTTCACGTATCCCATGACTTTATTCTCATTTAAATCTTAGAGATGAATTCAAGATGGCGACCGTCTGATTGACACACATAAAAATGGTTGCCGTTAGGCATAGCTTAATATATTTCAAACATGCAAAAATTTTCCCTATTCGACTCAGTTCGATTTTATAAGGATGTTGAGTGACTTTTAACTCATCCTATATTACAACCTAATACAAATCTAAAAACGAAAGTGAATGACAATATTTTTTTACTTTTTACGGTTTATTTTTTCAGTTTTTACAGTAAAAATTAATTTGGATTATCGAAAATACGACGTTTAAATATATACAATTTGTTATGTATGTACTGTACAGTACATATAATACAGTGAAACCTGCTTAAAACGGTACGCGACCGTTTATAAATCGCGTTTATTCTCTGTTTAAATTGGTTTTTTATTATATAAAGAGGCAGCTTCAGGCAGGTTTTACTTTATATTTAATTTAACATGTCATATGATTACACATGTTGGATAAGATAAACATAATTAAAACCGATGTCGCGAATTAATAAAATAAAATCTAAACATTTATATAACATATTATTAGAAAATATATGTATTATAGGATATACAGTAGTAACACGTCATTTGCCGGAAGAATGAGTAAAACTAATTTTGTTTCGTCGAACAGACGGATGTATAAAACTGTTACATCTTTTTATTTAATTATGTCGTTTTAATAATTATATACAAATATTTTCTATATACATTTATTACTTTTTTTATCATGCGTAAGGGAATTATCAATTACTTGATATTTACAGGATTAAATTTAAGTTTTATGTGTGAAGAAGTCCATAATCACTCAAGTAAATAATTATTTATTATATTTAAAAATTACTTTAAGAACTTCGTTAAGTTTCTCAAAATTTTATAATATTCTTGTTTAAATTACGTACATAATAATTTTTTTTTTACTATTTTTAATTGTAGAATGTGCACCGATTACATTCAAGAATGGATTTTTTAATGTAACTGCACGTCGATATGAATGTAACAATGATTATTATTATTACATGTTTGGAAATAATAGGTTAGAATGCCGAGAGGATGGAAATTGGAAAGGTGAAATACCTTATTGTGGTAAGTAGTGCTACTTACATTACTTTAATGCCGGTATTTGGGGAGGGCAATACAAGCTTTACCTAACCTTTACCTAAGATCTCGACTTGAAAGAGAGAATGAACTTTCTTTCTTAATGTTAGTACACCAAGTATAGAACCTCATCCCTCATATAGTTCTACACTGCTATGCTTTAATGTTTGAAGCATGACTTCACTTCATGCTTCAAATGTGGCCTTACGATCGTGATTTATATAGCTCTTATGGCCTTAGATCTACGACATGGGCGATCTACAGAGGGTATGCCTCTCGGGAGAACTTTCTAAGGGAAACTGGCTCTTATTTAAGTGTTACAACTTACGTAGTTTTATCAATTCGGCCATTGATTATCCTCTTGAAGGACAGTACAAACATTTAACATATCTATAAATTTTGGTCTGGTCAGTTAAGATGGAATTATTTTTACTCAATGTTAACTGAAACACCTTTGTGTAATAAAAACAATATTGTTTTGATTATTCTTTGTAATTTTCTATAATATAAATAATTAATGTTAATTCAGCTAGAACAATTTCTATACAACTATGGAAAGGCGATTATGAAATAATTCTTAACAATCGATGTGATAATTCTAATGGTGATAAACCATGGGAGATAGAAGTATTCGGTAAACCATTCTCTGCTGTAAGAATAATATTTAAAGGTATGCTATTTTATATAATTGCAATTTTTACAATTACTTTATTGATAATTGTAATGTTTCCTAGGAAATGTTGATAACATTGGATGTCCTGATGTGAATTTAAGTATTAACAAGAAAACGTACGATGAAACTTATAAAATTTGCGATTTTTGTAAGTCAATAAATCATTTTTTTTAGTAAAATTCAGTCATTCGTGTAATGTTAAAGTGCTAACTTTTACCCTGAATATCTTTGCGATCAATGAACCGATTTGGATTAAATTTAAAGTAGTGAGTGTCCACAATAAGTACTATGGAAGTCTTAAATTATAAATAATTTCGTTGGACCGTTTTGGACTTACGCGATCGCATTTTGTGCCTAGATTTACAACGAGAGAGAATACACACACCAAGCTATTGAACAATCTAGGAGTCTGCGTATGTTTAATAGCTCTTTCGAGATCTCACTCCTTTCTGTTTATCCTTTTTAAGGTTTCATTTAAAAATACTGTACTGGGTATTTATAAAATACTGTAATAGCACATTTTCAAAATTTAAACATATTATTGATCAATCAGTTATCGTGTAACATGACTTACTGCAGACTGTCAAGTGCCTATCTGGTGACTATAGAATTATCATAAAAGCTATGCTATTGTGAAGTTATTAATTAGTGAAAAATACTTGAAATCCCCTAAAAAAAAGTCTGGTGGAACCAGATTGAAATGTGAAGCATACAGTTTCTCAGGAGAATAATAACTTCTGAGAAACTGTGTTGGGCAGATTATGCTTTAAATATTTTCAGCTTCGAGTACGATCTTAAGTAGATTGTTTCAATTCATGAGTATCCACAAGAATTTATCACAAGTTTTCTAATATTGTTTATAATAAAACTTAACTATCGTAACAAGGTTTTTAATGGTTGTTGATTCATCAACTATTGTTAAAAATTTAGTTATTTTTAAGTCTGTCGTAGTATTTCAAGATAGCATTTCAGGTAACATTACAAAATATACAGTACTTGCAGATATTGTTCTGCTACATTGCAATTTTTTTCTAATCCTAGAATCAGGTCATTCATTCGCAATACGTCCTCGTAATTTGTTCTTTGAAGGAATAGATTGTTTTCAGCACTAAAAGCACTTTATTTCAATTCCGCTTCTGCAACATTTCTTACAAGTGGATTCATATGTAATTTTTAACTTTATTGTTTTGATCAGTCATAGCCAGCCTTTTTTTTACATGATTTTTTCTGTTTGCTTGTGTGTTTCCAGGATAGATACACTCCCAGTAATTTGCTGTCTGCCTTGCTACTGTTGCATTTAAATTTTTTCACCCAAGTTTTAAATCGTTCTCCTGTAAGCAACTTCTTTTGAAATTTATGGTCATAGGTAAGACAGTTTTTACTTTCCCGGCTCTGTTATATACAACAGAAGGAAAGTATGGCGATTGGTCAAAAAATGACCTCCTCAAGATTTTTATATTTTTGGACTCGGAACCTTGAAACGTTGAGAAATGGAAAAAATTGGGTTATTTTTCTGTATCTATGGATGTTAATGGGTGTGTGCACGATTTTTTTTTCCTTTTTTGAAGCTTAATAATTCCTGTGCTTTTTGTCGAAAATTTCTGAAATTTTGCAGGGAGGTTTTTATATTAGAGGGATCGATGCTATTAAATTTTGGTGGCTAAAGGTCGAGGGGGTGAAGAGATAAAGAGAGTCGTGTGTCATATTCGAGTAGGGTCGGACTTAATGACGATTTTACTCGTTATTAGCATTTACAATTTTTTTACAAAACCCATCTATACCATGCAAATTAAGCTTTTTGCCATTTCACAATAATTAAAAGTATAAAAAGTTTCTAAAATAAAATGTTATAACAGATTGCGCCATAAAATGTTGCCTGAAAAGTTTAGCAACTCTTTGCCGGACTTTTACTTCTGAAGTGGAAAAACTCCCGGAATCAACTCTTCGGCTGTTGAAAAGCATAAACTTAAATAATGAAGAAAAAAATTCATGTTCCTATTTATTAATCTTTAGCTAGTAGCGTAACAAAAGGAAGCCCTGGGCTTTCTTATCTTTATAAATAAATAATCAAGAAAACTGGAATAAGCTAAATACAGTAAGACGACTTAAATGTGATATATTTATGCACATTTATATACAATATCTAAGTGCTTACTCTTCACCCATAGTTCTAGTGGTAGGGAGTAATCTAAATCAGCCCTCCCAATATCGGTTCTAGTTACGCTACTATCTTTAGAAAACAATCAAGATTATTAATTCATGTTTCTCATATTAATAATCCATTATTCAACATCATATAGTTATTATTTTTTTCTGTATTTTAGATAACAAATACTTTGCATACGAATTTAAAAATATTATGAAAATAAACATTAAATTTTCTATAAAGAAAGGTTCGTCTTATTTTGATTTATGTGGAATCTACGTTTATTCCAAATCAGGTAGGTACTTTTTTATTTTAGTATCATTAAAGGTATTATACAGTTAAAAAAAGGCTAGAAAAGTGACTAATGTTATCTATTACTTTTCCGGCTATTATATTTAACAGAAGAAAATTATGGAAATGATCTTTTAGGGGATCACAAAATGAATTAATACTTTCCCTATTCCATTAAATGTAATGGGAAAAGGGAAATATTTGTGTGAAACATTTAACTTTTAAAAAATAAATTTATTTGTTTTGAATACAGTAATTGGGTTATATAAACTTGGTAAATAATATGTTTAATTAATTAATTTAATACATAAACAGAAGAAAAATGTTCCATTGCATCAATAACTCTACCAAATGGATATATTTCTCCTTCAAATGTTAACTCGTTAAGCTATGGAGAACACGTGTCATTTAACTGCAATGAGGGTTTTCAACTGAATGGATATCGATATCTTTATTGTGGAGTGACAGATATATCGACTCAAATACCTCAATGTCAACGTAAGTAAACCATTCGGGCAGTTTTTATGTTTAAAATTTTATTTCATTTTTAATCGCCTAAATTAAATTTTTATGAAGGGATCCAATGCAAAAATTCTCCGATGAAAATATTAAATGGTATGTGGGAAAATTGGAATGGAACTAAACGTTACTTTTATGAAGACGAAATTCGTCTTATTTGTCATCCTGGTTATAAATTAAATGCCACAGGAAGTATTAAATGTCTTAAGAACGGAGAATGGTCCCATACTCATGCAGCTTGTATAGGTAGGTAAATATTTTATATTTTAAAATAAAGAAACGATTGCAGTTAAAATAATTTATATTTCTTACAGAGAAGAAATTTCCAATATATTTAAGTAAGTAAATAATAACAGAATAAAATTTTAAATATCGGAATAAACAGATTTATATACAGTATCTTATATATTAAACTTTCACAAAGAGATTCGATGTAAGAATTCTCCCATCGCTATATTAAATGGAATATGGGAAAATTGGAATCAAAGTAAGAATTACTCCCACGAAGATGAACTTCATCTCAATTGCGATTATGGTTATAAATTAAATGCCACTGGAACAATTAAATGTCTTGAGAATGGAGAATGGTCCCTCACTTCTGCTACTTGTTTGAGTATTTGAAAATTTCTGAAAATTTTATTTTATTATAAAGTTTCGAACGTTAAAATCATTATCTTAATTTTTTACAGAGAAGAAATCTTCAATTAATTTAGGTATGTTAAAAATTACTTTGTAAGATACTAATTATTAAAGTAACTAAACAATTTTTCTTTAGTCATTACAGTAGTAATTGTTGCTGCAGTTACGCTTGTCGTATTGGTAGTTGTATACTTCATCATGTTCAAAAGAAGGTTAGAAACATTTCTATAATTGTATAATAATTTAATTACTTTTATATTGAACAAATTGATTTGAAGCGAATGTAGACATTTTCAGATTTTATATGCAAGATAAGTCTGGAATCATAAGAGTTAGTGATTTTCATTTTTTACAGGTGAAGCATGACGCTAAAGAAAAACGAATCTAAGTTATTTTTATGGTAGAGACTGCGTTCAGTGTTAAGTTGCCTAAGAATTTAACTGGCTGTCTTATGATTGCGAGAAGTTTAGATAAGTTAGGTAATTTCACGCCGGCTGCAGGTCCCTACCGTAAAAATTACTGGAATTATTTCCTTATTACTCAGGGCCATGCTTTATACCTGTAAAAATTTAACAAAATCCATCACAATTAGTCCTTTCAACATAAGTTGGTAGTTGTCAAACCAGACTATATCACTTTTAACCAATTATAGGGAGAGGCTACTTTATTACTTGTAAACGCATAATTGTTTTTTCCAGTCCTGATGTATTGGATACCTCTTTCTCATAGTAAATGGCTTAAAAATTGTTTAGTCTGGTTTGATAATTCTTATAGTTCCAGGCTTATGAGCGATTTACAAGAAAATACACAAAACAAAACGGTAACAACAAAGACCAACTTTAAAGTGACATTTTAATTTGTTATTTTAAATACTACGAATAAAGTCAGTGAAAAGAATCACACGGTGTTTGATTTCTGGTTGTGAGGTCATTTGAAGATTAGGGTTTATCATAGAAATGCTGCAACTTTGACAATGTACGTGCAAAGCATCAGTGAAGAGCAGTTGCTGTCAGCTGTTCAGACGATGAACCGCCTCCAAGTTTTACACTTGAATAATGGAACACACATTAAGAAACTTCCTGACATCAGTCAACAGTCTCTGCTGAAGGCTTTATCCTTGTGGAACGAATAAACATGTATTCGTTGTTTTCTTTTGTGCATTTCCGGAGCTTTACAGGAGAATACCTCTTTGATTACGGGCACAATATTTTGTGTTGGCCTGTTTATGAGCACCTGTAATAAAGCCATTTCTTTTAATTAAGCTGTAATAGAACCATTGGCTATGTTATTATCTACAAAAATATAGGCACCTCCTTTAGTATCAGAATTTTATATATATGTATGAAATTTATAATATTAAAATATGTATGGAGCAGTGCAAAATAAACTTTTTCATAGTCGACCCATAGTCGATTTTATGGTATTCCACTGTGCGTTGAACCACATTGTTTAACATTTTACCAACACATTTCACATGAATTGGCTTTGCCACTGATAAATATGAATACTTATACAGTATGAATACCGAATAGTCGAGGCTCTGAAGTACCCGGGATCAAATCCAGGCAAGCAATTGCCCAGGAAATTTTTCATGGACTAGATTTTTTTACGTCTATCACGAATATGTTGGGTCCTAGTCGTTTTAATTGTAAGCATGGTCGAATTCATAATGGGTCTAAAAGATTGTAATAGTGCTTAGTAAATTAATTTTTAATTTTAAAAAATATTTCTTTCTTTACATTGCGGATTTATTCATATTTACAATCATTGTCACGATATATTTGATTAATAAAGTTATCAATATTTTAATGCAAGTTGTAATAATGATTTTGTAATTGTTCGTCCATAAAATTAATATAATTTATTTTAGGAAAAGAAGAGACCAAGACGATGAAAGAATTATAGAAAAAACGGCATGTGAAAATCCAGTCGATGAAAAAACCGAAGTTATATCGGTAGAACTTGCAAACAACGAAGTAAAATATGAAAACTTAGATGAGTACACAAATAATAGGCGTGAAATTATTATATTCATGAAAAAATGTAGTGTTTATGACGAAATATAGCATTTTAACTATTTTTTATTGGTGAAGAAATGTATTTTATTAATGAAGCATATCGAAATGAGCGCTTCGAGATCGCTTATAGATAGATATAATTTTTAATGACTGTAAATTACACAAAAATTACAGTCACATTCAAATATTACGTGACGTAAAAAAATGTTTAAACGAACTTTTAAGCATACTGTCAACGGATCGGGTGTAAATTCTTCTATTTAATTATACGTATATTTTAAATCTATGCTAATGTAATGTTTGTAACATCGCGACGCTTCTACCGCAATGATATCAACTGTAATGTTTACATTATAATTATTATGAATCTGAGTTTATATGACAATGTCTAATGTTACCAAGTACAGCTCAGTAAAGATATATTAGTTTCATTTACATTAGTAGATACAGTAGAGCCTCGAAAACTCGGCCTAATGTAGACCGAAGGATGGCCGAGTTTGTGAAAATGCCGGGTTATCGGGAATGGGGTTAAAAAAGGATAAGTATGCGTGTTTCCTCAAAAAATATTGTACTGTACTTGTATGTATTGTTTGCTTGAGAATACAACAGAGAATAAACTGCCCAAATACCCTTAAACAAAGGAAAAGTACGTCTTTTATGAAGGCATAGAGCCTTTACTACATGAAAATGAAAATTAATGAATACACTGTGTACAGTAATTTACCTGATAAGACAGACCTCAGAAAAGCATAAAGCTGTCTACAGTGAAAATTATCTAGCCAGCTCCCAAGACCTTAGCTACTGCACTGACACTTTCTTCTTCTCGGTGCCATATCAGATTCCTGACGTCGGCGACACCTGGCGTAGGTTTGTAATCCGCCAAGGTGTATACTAAGGAAAGTTACTACCCAGAGTGGTTTCCCGTTGCCTTCTCTGGGGCGCGATGTTGCGCGAAATGCCTTCCGGGAGGACTTTTATGGGGAACTGGCCTCCTATTTAGTCGTTATTGGCAAGGAGAAAACCCGTAAAACTCCAAGCAGCCAGCCTGTCCGATCGCGGCGCGAACCCACGACCGAACTCCCAGTGTTTAGGGTACGAAGACCACTCGGCCACTGGTGGGCATAATATTTTTATCAACAGTCAATTCGACTTTTGACTCAACTGACACTTTACACTCCGTTATCCAGTCTCTTTAATGCCCGCAACTTTTGCTCCATAGACATGTTCACTTGTTTTCTTTTAACGGAAGATGCCATCGCAGAGTACTGTTGTCGTGATGGAATCGTTTAGATGTATGGTTCCCGCGCTTTTCCTCTTTTTCAAACAAGCAACGGTTGTCGCCATAGAAATACGGATCGAGAAACGACCGTTAGTTTTGAAAACAGAATAGATGATTAGCCGTCGATCATTGGACGATCGCACGGACCTCCAATAGGACTACGAAGCGCTCATTGGTCAATCAGCGCTATCTTCATTCTATATAAAAAGATTAAGTTTAAACGGGAAACTTAAGTTCACCTAAGTTCGTTTTCGCCCTGCCAAGGTGTGGCCGAGTTATCCGGAGTGCCCGGTTATCGAGTGCCGAGTTTTCGAGGCTCTACTGTACTCAGATTTGATAATTGTATAGTATACACACAATCTATACACGATCCATAATTTTTTTCTTGCGAAATTTCAGACATTCAATCAGTTAATTAAGTTTAACGAATTCATTAACAATTTTTTGTATTTCTATCGAATAAAAACCTAATTACAGTACAGCGTCGATTATCCGAATAAATTGGGGACTGGGGTTGTTCGAAAGATCGGTGTTTCGGATAACCGATTATATACGAAAAAATGTTAATTTATCCCATCTTGAAATTTTTCTCCGTTGCGTGTCGTTTCGCGTTGAATTTTCGTCGCTGTTAAGCCTAACGAAGACTATTGTATCGTTAAAAATTATTTTTTTATTTTGTACGAACAAAATAAATATATTGAAAACTATAAAACAATAAAAAATTATACTTCAGAAGTTAATTTAGTAACAAAAACGTAAAATATTTGAGTAGCCCAAGAAATAGCCAAAGATTGCAGCGCCACAGCACGGGCGAAAATTTAAATTTTCCGACTGGAATTCTTTCGGATGATTGACATTCGGATAATCGACGCTCTACTGTAGTTACATTATCTGAAAGAAATTTAATTGTCCAAAAGTACTTTAAATCGGAATTAAAGTAACAAACCGGAAAACCAGAATAAAAAGACAAGGAAATCGAAAAACTTCACTCTCCATACTCAAATTATTGAGCTAGAACGTATTACAAAAAAATGGCTCTTTGCGGTCATGGTGACCCGCAGCGACCTTTGACGTTTGTTGTAATTTAATATGTTTATGTAATGTAAATATAATTTTTTTTAAATTGTGACTTTATATACCTATTATATAATAAATATGATTTTTTNACATATAATACAGTGAAACCTGCTTAAAACGGTACGCGACCGTTTATAAATCGCGTTTATTCTCTGTTTAAATTGGTTTTTTATTATATAAAGAGGCAGCTTCAGGCAGGTTTTACTTTATATTTAATTTAACATGTCATATGATTACACATGTTGGATAAGATAAACATAATTAAAACCGATGTCGCGAATTAATAAAATAAAATCTAAACATTTATATAACATATTATTAGAAAATATATGTATTATAGGATATACAGTAGTAATACGTCATTTGCCGGAAGAATGAGTAAAACTAATTTTGTTTCGTCGAACAGACGGATGTATAAAACTGTTACATCTTTTTATTTAATTATTTCGTTTTAATAATTATATACAAATATTTTCTATATACTTTTATTACTATTTTTATCATGCGTAAGGGAATTATCAATTACTTGATATTTACAGGATTAAATTTAAGTTTTATGTGTGAAGAAGTACAGAATCACTCAAGTAAATAATTATTTATTATATTTAAAAATTACTTTAAGAACTTCGTTAAGTTTCTCAAAATCTTATAATATCTTTGTTTAAATTAAGTACTGTACATAATAATTTTTTGTTACTATTTTTAATTGTAGAATGTGCACCGATTACATTCAAGAATGGATTTTTTAATGTAACTGCACGTCGATATGAATGTAACAATGATTATTATTATTACATGTTTGGAAATAATAGGTTAGAATGCCGAGAGGATGGAAATTGGAAAGGTGAAATACCTTATTGTGGTAAGTAGTGCTACTTACATTACTTTAATGCCGGTATTTGGGGAGGGCAATACAAGCTTTACCTAACCTTTACCTAAGATCTCGACTTGAAAGAGAGAATGAACTTTCTTTCTTAATGTTAGTACACCAAGTATAGAACCTCATCCCTCATATAGTTCTACACTGCTATGCTTTAATGTTTGAAGCATGACTTCACTTCATGCTTCAAATGTGGCCTTACGATCGTGATTTATATAGCTCTTATGGCCTTAGATCTACGACATGGGCGATCTACAGAGGGTATGCCTCTCGGGAGAACTTTCTAAGGGAAACTGGCTCTTATTTAAGTGTTACAACTTACGTAGTTTTATCAATTCGGCCATTGATTATCCTCTTGAAGGACAGTACAAACATTTAACATATCTATAAATTTTGGTCTGGTCAGTTAAGATGGAATTATTTTTACTCAATGTTAACTGAAACACCTTTGTGTAATAAAAACAATATTGTTTTGATTATTCTTTGTAATTTTCTATAATATAAATAATTAATGTTAATTCAGCTAGAACAATTTCTATACAACTATGGAAAGGCGATTATGAAATAATTCTTAACAATCGATGTGATAATTCTAATGGTGATAAACCATGGGAGATAGAAGTATTCGGTAAACCATTCTCTGCTGTAAGAATAATATTTAAAGGTATGCTATTTTATATAATTGCAATTTTTACAATTACTTTATTGATAATTGTAATGTTTCCTAGGAAATGTTGATAACATTGGATGTCCTGATGTGAATTTAAGTATTAACAAGAAAACGTACGATGAAACTTATAAAATTTGCGATTTTTGTAAGTCAATAAATCATTTTTTTTAGTAAAATTCAGTCATTCGTGTAATGTTAAAGTGCTAACTTTTACCCTGAATATCTTTGCGATCAATGAACCGATTTGGATTAAATTTAAAGTAGTGAGTGTCCACAATAAGTACTATGGAAGTCTTAAATTATAAATAATTTCGTTGGACCGTTTTGGACTTACGCGATCGCATTTTGTGCCTAGATTTACAACGAGAGAGAATACACACACCAAGCTATTGAACAATCTAGGAGTCTGCGTATGTTTAATAGCTCTTTCGAGATCTCACTCCTTTCTGTTTATCCTTTTTAAGGTTTCATTTAAAAATACTGTACTGGGTATTTATAAAATACTGTAATAGCACATTTTCAAAATTTAAACATATTATTGATCAATCAGTTATCGTGTAACATGACTTACTGCAGACTGTCAAGTGCCTATCTGGTGACTATAGAATTATCATAAAAGCTATGCTATTGTGAAGTTATTAATTAGTGAAAAATACTTGAAATCCCCTAAAAAAAAGTCTGGTGGAACCAGATTGAAATGTGAAGCATACAGTTTCTCAGGAGAATAATAACTTCTGAGAAACTGTGTTGGGCAGATTATGCTTTAAATATTTTCAGCTTCGAGTACGATCTTAAGTAGATTGTTTCAATTCATGAGTATCCACAAGAATTTATCACAAGTTTTCTAATATTGTTTATAATAAAACTTAACTATCGTAACAAGGTTTTTAATGGTTGTTGATTCATCAACTATTGTTAAAAATTTAGTTATTTTTAAGTCTGTCGTAGTATTTCAAGATAGCATTTCAGGTAACATTACAAAATATACAGTACTTGCAGATATTGTTCTGCTACATTGCAATTTTTTTCTAATCCTAGAATCAGGTCATTCATTCGCAATACGTCCTCGTAATTTGTTCTTTGAAGGAATAGATTGTTTTCAGCACTAAAAGCACTTTATTTCAATTCCGCTTCTGCAACATTTCTTACAAGTGGATTCATATGTAATTTTTAACTTTATTGTTTTGATCAGTCATAGCCAGCCTTTTTTTTTACATGATTTTTTCTGTTTGCTTGTGTGTTTCCAGGATAGATACACTCCCAGTAATTTGCTGTCTGCCTTGCTACTGTTGCATTTAAATTTTTTCACCCAAGTTTTAAATCGTTCTCCTGTAAGCAACTTCTTTTGAAATTTATGGTCATAGGTAAGACAGTTTTTACTTTCCCGGCTCTGTTATATACAACAGAAGGAAAGTATGGCGATTGGTCAAAAAATGACCTCCTCAAGATTTTTATATTTTTGGACTCGGAACCTTGAAACGTTGAGAAATGGAAAAAATTGGGTTATTTTTCTGTATCTATGGATGTTAATGGGTGTGTGCACGATTTTTTTTTCCTTTTTTGAAGCTTAATAATTCCTGTGCTTTTTGTCGAAAATTTCTGAAATTTTGCAGGGAGGTTTTTATATTAGAGGGATCGATGCTATTAAATTTTGGTGGCTAAAGGTCGAGGGGGTGAAGAGATAAAGAGAGTCGTGTGTCATATTCGAGTAGGGTCGGACTTAATGACGATTTTACTCGTTATTAGCATTTACAATTTTTTTACAAAACCCATCTATACCATGCAAATTAAGCTTTTTGCCATTTCACAATAATTAAAAGTATAAAAAGTTTCTAAAATAAAATGTTATAACAGATTGCGCCATAAAATGTTGCCTGAAAAGTTTAGCAACTCTTTGCCGGACTTTTACTTCTGAAGTGGAAAAACTCCCGGAATCAACTCTTCGGCTGTTGAAAAGCATAAACTTAAATAATGAAGAAAAAAATTCATGTTCCTATTTATTAATCTTTAGCTAGTAGCGTAACAAAAGGAAGCCCTGGGCTTTCTTATCTTTATAAATAAATAATCAAGAAAACTGGAATAAGCTAAATACAGTAAGACGACTTAAATGTGATATATTTATGCACATTTATATACAATATCTAAGTGCTTACTCTTCACCCATAGTTCTAGTGGTAGGGAGTAATCTAAATCAGCCCTCCCAATATCGGTTCTAGTTACGCTACTATCTTTAGAAAACAATCAAGATTATTAATTCATGTTTCTCATATTAATAATCCATTATTCAACATCATATAGTTATTATTTTTTTCTGTATTTTAGATAACAAATACTTTGCATACGAATTTAAAAATATTATGAAAATAAACATTAAATTTTCTATAAAGAAAGGTTCGTCTTATTTTGATTTATGTGGAATCTACGTTTATTCCAAATCAGGTAGGTACTTTTTTATTTTAGTATCATTAAAGGTATTATACAGTTAAAAAAAGGCTAGAAAAGTGACTAATGTTATCTATTACTTTTCCGGCTATTATATTTAACAGAAGAAAATTATGGAAATGATCTTTTAGGGGATCACAAAATGAATTAATACTTTCCCTATTCCATTAAATGTAATGGAAAAAGGGAAATATTTGTGTGAAACATTTAACTTTTAAAAAATAAATTTATTTGTTTTGAATACAGTAATTGGGTTATATAAACTTGGTAAATAATATGTTTAATTAATTAATTTAATACATAAACAGAAGAAAAATGTTCCATTGCATCAATAACTCTACCAAATGGATATATTTCTCCTTCAAATGTTAACTCGTTAAGCTATGGAGAACACGTGTCATTTAACTGCAATGAGGGTTTTCAACTGAATGGATATCGATATCTTTATTGTGGAGTGACAGATATATCGACTCAAATACCTCAATGTCAACGTAAGTAAACCATTCGGGCAGTTTTTATGTTTAAAATTTTATTTCATTTTTAATCGCCTAAATTAAATTTTTATGAAGGGATCCAATGCAAAAATTCTCCGATGAAAATATTAAATGGTATGTGGGAAAATTGGAATGGAACTAAACGTTACTTTTATGAAGACGAAATTCGTCTTATTTGTCATCCTGGTTATAAATTAAATGCCACAGGAAATATTAAATGTCTTAAGAACGGAGAATGGTCCCATACTC